ACTTAAAATGGTGTTTGTCATGTACTCTTCAGCTCTAACTGTGTATGACTGGGGCCAGGTGCTCAGTGCCCTGGTGCCCTGTAAGGTGCCCACACACCCTCTCTTTACCTGGTTCCTGAATTCCCAGCCTCCTACCCTCCATGATAGCCCATCCCCTCAGACATTCCAGTCGCTGCTGCAAACCCTGTCCCCAGATCCACAGGCAACCCCGGACCTTGACTCATGGCCTCATGTGGCTTGTCCCTTCCTCCATGCACCCGCTGGAGAGGGACTGGGCGTTTGGCTCAGGGGAGACCCATCAGAAACACTAAGTTGTGCTCCCCACACTAGCAGAATTGGCCCATGCTAGCAGGCCCAGAGGGCAGCAGAGGATCAGAGCAGGGTGTGGGAGACGGTGCCCTGGGCTGAGGATAGGCTTAGCATGCGGGAGACTCAGGTTTGACCCTTAGCACTGGACGGTCCCCTGACCCCCACCAGAAGTGACTCCCGAAATTAAACGCGGGAGTAACCCCTGACTCCGGTGTGGTCCACAAACTAAACAAGGGGCCAGAGCACGAGAACAGTAGGGAAGGGCACTTGCCTTACACGTGGCCAACCAGGGTTTGAACCCTGGCATCCCATAGGCACTCCTATGCACCGTCAGGAGTGATTCTTGAATGCAGGGCCAGGAGTAACCCCTGAGCATTGCCAGGTGTGGCCCCCAAACAAAAACAAAAACCTAAACAAAAGCAGTCCTCACTGAGAGATAGTTGAGTAGATAGGGTGCTTGCCTTGCATGTGGCTGACCTAGGTTCCATCCCCAGCACTCTAAGCCCTGCCAGGTGTGATCTCCAATAGCAGTGTCTAGAGTAAGCCCCTGAAAAAAAAAAGTACCTAGTGGCTGAGGGGACTGGTATGATAGCACAGCAGGTAGGACGTTTTGCCTTGCAAGCGGCCAACATGGCTGACCTGAGTTTGATTCCTCCGCCCCTCTCGGAGAGCCTGGCAAGCTACCGAGAGTATCTTGCCCACACGGCAAAGCCTGGCAAGCTACCCATGACGTATTCAATATGCCAGACACAGTAACAATTGTCACAATGGAGACATTACTGGGCCCCCTCGAGCAAATCGATGAACAACAGAACAGTGACAGTGACAATGACAGTGGCTGGGGACCTGGCTGCCTTCATTCCAATCCTGCCTGGGGAGAGGAGCCTGAGTCACCCAGATCCCTCTGAATGAGAACAGGCTGGCACCCAGGCCACATCACCAGGTCCAATGAGTGTGGTTTGGGGGACCCAACGTTCCCAAGAAGTGAAAGGACCCTACAGTGTCTCCAGGAGGAAGGTCCCAGAGCCTGACACTTTAGGGAGATCCTCTGTGGGTTTCTAGTTTTGTTGGTGTGTGGTGCCAGATTCACAGATAGCAGGGCCAGGGCCAGGGAGATAATATTATTGATTATCTCAATGTTATTGAGGCATTTGCAGGGTTTGAAGTACTTGCCTTGCATGGCACATCTGAGTTAGATCCCTGACACCCCCACATGGCTTCCCAAGCACCTCACCTCAAGGAGTGATCCCTGAGCACAATGTGAAGAGTAAGCCAGAAGCATCTCTGGATGTGGTCCCCAAACCAAAAAAACCAAACCTCAGGGACATGGAGATGGTGCTTGGCATATATGGAACACTGGGGATTTGAACTCAAGACCAGAGGCTTTCAAGGTTGCAGGCAGGTACCTTTAGCCACTGCACCACACCCCGGCAAACCAGGAGAGTACTGGTAAGACTGGGAACTGCTACAGGATTTTCCAGAACGGTTCAGCATCAGCTCCACATCCTGGATCCCTAACATCCCAGCCCCGCCCCTCCCAATTCGGCCCCTCCCCGCCCAGTCCAGCCCCGCCCCGTCCAGTCCCTCCCCGCCCCGCCCAGTTCAGCTCCGCCCAGCCCAATACAGCCCCGCCCCGCCCCGTCCAACCCCGCCCAGTCCAGTCCCGCCCCGCCCAGTTCAGCTCCGCCCCGCCCAGTACAGCCCCTCCCCGCCCCGCCCAGTACAGCCCAGCCTTCTCTGGCAGTGGTGCCGATCTGGAGCCGGTTTCTTTGCTGAGCTCACAACACCCAGCCGCCCCTCTCAGGCTGTCTCGCTCCTCTTTACACCCTCACTTTTTCCCAGATCTTTTGTTTAAGTTCAAACCAGGAGGCAGTCACAGGTGGCTGGTGTCTGCTGTGTTTGGGTGATTTTTTTTTGGGGGGGGAAGAGATGGATATGTCCGATTGTGCTCGGGGCTTACTCCTGACTCTGTGCTCAGTGACCACTCCTGGTGGTCTTGAGGGACTCTAGGGAATGCTGGGACTGACTCAGAATCAAGCCCGGGTCAGCCATATGCAAGGCAAACGCCTATCTCTCCTAGTGTCTAACTGTCCTATGGCCCTGGTCCTTATTGTGTTTTTCTTCCTTTCTTTTGCAATTTGTGTTTAGATCACACCCAGCAGTGCTCAGGGCTTACTCCTGGTGCTGTGCTCAAGGATCACTCCTGACAGTGATTAGGGGACCACATGGGGTGCTGGGGATCAAACCCAGGTCAGCCGCATGCAAGGCAAACATCCTCTCTGCTGTCCTATCACTCTGGCCCTTGTGTGTGTGTGGTTGAAGTTTTGAAGCCACACCTGGGGCTACTACTGGCTCTGTGCTCAGGGATCCCTCTCAGTAGCGATTAGTGATCACGCAGTGCTGAGGATGTGACCAGGATCTCCTGCGAGCAGAGTGGGACTCAGCCCACTGAATCCTCTCTCTGCACCCTGCTGAGGGATGCTCTGAAGGCGGCCGTGGTCTTTAGGTGGTAGAGACTGAATTTCCTGTTGAAGCAGAAGCAGAGCTCCATCAGACCACTGATGCCCGACCTCTCCCTGCCCACCCCCCCCCCCCGCCCCATCCAGTTCCCCTCTGGCCCCTCCATAAACGCAATCCGCAATCCTATGGTTTAGCGGGGGGCCAGTTGGTTGGTGGCTGACCCCCTGACCCCGGAGCTGACTTGTTCTTGTCCAACTCTGACCTCTGGAGTAACTGACACAGACCCAAGGACTCTGCCTCCTGCCCTGGGGCCGGCCTCCAAGCACCTTCCAGTCTCCTGCTTCAACTCCCAAGAAGATGGGCCTGATCCCATAAGAATCAGTTTCCCGTCCTTCTTGTGGAACCCCAGTAGGGTCACAGAGGATGCCTGAGGCCCCCAGTCACAGTGGCACCAGGGATACCAGAGTGGGCCCCTCTCTGCTCATGCTGCAGCCTGGACCCCTCGGGAGCTGGCGACCCCCATGTCCAGCTGTGCCCCCCTCCACTTTCAGCTGTGAAGTCTCCTCTTCTGCCCCTATCCCCGGCTGGGTCCCCGCTGGCTTGTTTTGCTGCTTCTGACCTTGTGGGTGTTCCTGGCCTGCACCCCTTACATCTCTCCTGTCTTCCAGGGCTCAGAGGGCTGGTCAGTGGCTCTTCCTGGATCCCTTGACATGGCCTGGATGCCCGCCTCTCTCCCTAGACACCCACGAGGCCACTGGCAGCTGGGCTTTGCATTCGATGTACCGAGCAGAGGGCATAACGGTGCCCAGGAGACAGGCACCCCTGGTTCTGGGCGCCAGGTTGCTGGGTGAGGGCGGCGGACTCCGGTGGAGGAACCCAGAACCAGCTGAGACAGGGTGTGGTGTGGGTGCCAGGGACAGGGCAAATCAGATCGAAAGGTTGCATGAGTAAGTAATGGGTGGGTCTGGCCCCCGAGATGGGCCCAGACTCGTTCTGCCAGGCAGGTCAGCGCAGTGTTTGATCATAGTGTGGATTTCCTCCCTGGCCTCCTGCCAGGTCCTGCCAGGCTCTGGGGCCCCACCTGGCAGGACTGCAGCAGGGCGATGGTGCTACCGCAGGGGTGGAGAAGTAGCTGAGCTGAGTTTGGGGGGGAGGGGGAATTTAGGGGCTGCCCCTGGTTTCCCCTGCAGCGGCTGCTTCTCTCGTCAGAGACCCACAGAAAGGCATTTGTGCCCCTTAGGAAAGAACACAGAGGGGTTGCAGGGGTGTGGCGCAGTGGCTAAAGGCACCTGCCTGCAACCTTGAAGGCGTCTGGTCTTGAGTTCACATCCCCGGTGTCCCATATATGCCAAGCATCATCCCCATATCCCTGAGGTGCTTTTTTTTTGTTGTTTGGGGGCCACACCCAGAGGTTCTTATGACTTGCTCTTCACACTGTGCTCAGGGATCACTCCTTGAGGTGAGTGAGGTGCTTGGGAAGCCATGTGGGGGTGCCAGGGATCTAACTCAGATGTGCCATGCAAGGAAAGTGCCTCAAGCCCTGCAAATGCCTCAATAACATTGAGATAATCAATAATATTATCTCCCTGGGCCTGCTGTCTGTGAGCCTGGCACCACACACCAACAAAACTAGGTACCCACAGAGGATCTCCCCAAAGCGTCAGGCTCTGGGACCTTCCTCCTGGAGACAGTGTAGGGTCCTTTCAATTCTTGGGGACTTTGGGAACCCCCAAACCACACCCATTTCCCTCTCCTCCAGATCCCTCCTGGAGTGAGATGAGATGAGATGGATGGGGTGAGGTGTCACTCAAATGCAGGCCCAGGTAGGTGCTCCAGTCTCTGAAGCAGCCAGGACAGTCCCCCTCTGCTGCCACATAGGTCCCCTGTTCTCAGTCTCCTGGAGACAGCGGTGGCCCTTCAGACAGGACAGCTGTCAGAGAACTCTGGGCTGCTCCCCTTTGCTTGCTCTGTCTGTCTTTCCCAGCAGAAACCTCTGCTCTGGCTCTAGGCAGGCATTGCTGGATGACATCATTTTTTCTTATTTTTGGGGCAGTGGGTAGGGAACCCTAGGGCCTCATACTTGCAGTATGTTCTTTCCTGCTACACCAGCACTTCGAGGCAATGTGGGCCTTGGGACAGGAGGACAACGGACACACAAGCTTGACCAGTAAGTGACCAGGAGGCCACCAGCCCGAGGTCTCACCAAGGTTGGAGGCAGAAGCACATTGGGGGTGCATCCAAGTTTATTTGAGAAAAACGGAAGAGGGACGTATCAAAAGAGCAATGAGGCTGGGGCGGGAAGGGACAGGTTCCTGGGGTGGGGGTGGGCAGTGGTCCCTGAGAGCTGTTCACTTGGCGGCAGCTTGCTCGGATTTCCCAGCTTCCGGGCCTGAGAGCTGGGCTCTTGACTCGAAGGTGACGGGGATGGTGATCTCAGACGACTGGGTAGCGGGCTTGGGCATGGGGGCCTCGACGGTGAGCATGCCCTCGGGAGACAGGGAGGAGGAGACCTGGGCGGCATCCACACCGGGGGGCAGCCTGGACGGTGGAAAAGACCAGTGTTAAAGACCCAGGTGATTCCACGCCTCTCCTGCGGTTCAGCCCCCCAAAGCTCCACCTTCCTGCGGCAGCTCCAGCAGCTCCAACCTCCAATGGACCCACCCCATAGGCTCCACCCTCCAAGGGACCCGCCCCATAGGCTCCATCCTCCATTGGACCCGCCCCTAGACGCCGCATCCTCCAGAGGCCACGCCCATCAAGGTTTCACCCTCCCGCGGCCGCGCCCCCAGTAGCCCCACCCGCCAGAGGCCACGCCCCTAATGCGTCACGCTTCCGGGCCCGCCCCAGAGGCTCCACCCTCTCGCGGCCCCGCCCCCAGCGGCCCGGGACTCACGTGTATTTGCGAGTGAAGCAGCGGGAGATGTAGCCGTGTTCGTCCTGTCTCTCTTCGTGCTTGCCTGTGGGGCGGAGAGATGGAGAGGTTAGGAACTGCAAGAGGGGTGCACCCACATCCAAACTGCCCCCCGAAGGGCCAGACTTCAGACCCATCCAGATGGGCAGAGAGCTCGGGCGGGGGGGTGGCGAGCACTTAGAGCTATCTGCAAAGTTTGGTTCGGGGCTCCGAGAGTCGGGGGCGCGGGACGGGGCCACGCCACGCCCCCTCCGCGGGGAGTCAGCCCCACGGCCCGGCTGGAGGGGCCTTTCGTGGCTCCCCGGAGCGTTTCCCGAGCAGAGCGGGTGGGTGGGAGCCGCCTCGGCCCGGGTTCCCGGGTTCGGGAGCGGGCGGCGCAGCGCAGCGGGGGCCGGGCGCGGCGCTCACCGGTGATCTCCACCACGCCGTCCCTGGTCTTGACCGTCAGCTCCTCGGGGGCGAAGTGGTTGACGTCCAGGGCCACGCGCCAGCGGTCAGCCGTGTGTCGGAGCTCCGAGACGCCGCTGCTGAGCTGCCGGCTGAGCGCGCGGCTGTAGGCGGGCGCGGGCGCGGCCACGGCCACGGCCGGGGCGCAGTCCACGGGCGCCGCGGGCAGCGGGCGCACGTAGCCGGGCCAGCCGCTGGACCCGAGCCACTGCGACCACTCCTCGGGCAGCCGCGGCAGCCCGAAGGCCGTGTCGAAGAGGCGGCTGTGTGCCGAGGGCCAGTTGGCGAAGGGCTCCCAGCTGGGGCTCCGCAGGAGCGAGAAGGGCACGCGGCGCTCGGTCATGCTGCTTGGCGGCGCTGGGGGCGACTGGAGGCGGCCGGAGGGAGAAGTGCGGGGCGCTGCACCCCGCCGCGCTCTTATGGGCCTCCCAGCCGGGTATTTTTAGCAGGCGTGTCTCAGGTCTCTATTAATGGCAATGACCGGCTGCGGGGCAGCCCCTCCCCTGCATACCGGAGCGGGGGCGGGCTGAGGAAGGCCCAGCCCAATCTGGAATCTTCTCTCCTGTTGGAGAAAACAAACGACGGGGAGCGTGGTGGACGCTGAGCCAGCGCCCACCACCCGACCCCCCCCCCCCCCGCCCCCCGCCTCCGCCGCGGGCCTGGCGCTAAAGTGCACGCGTCTGGTGGGGGTATAGGTGGAGCGAGTGGCTGCTCCAGGGGCGAGTGTCCCAGGCCAGATGGCAGGAAGGGGCCAGCTGGGATTGGAACCCCCCGAGTTTGTGATATACAGTGAATGGTTCCTAGTGAGGACTGCGAGTCACTCCCTGCCTCCATTCCTCTCCACATGCACTGGGGCCCTTGAGACACTGAGTTCCGCAGTGTCCTCCCTCTGGAAGTTGGTGATAATCAGGCTGACATCATGGTCCAGGGGAGCATTCAGAAATGCGAAGTGGCTGGCTCGGCCCTGGGTCTGGTCCATGTTTAGTTATTGTTTTAATTGCTACTTGTGCTAATTGTCTCTGCTGGGGCCTGAACCAAGAGAGGTGGGACCGAAGGCCAGGGCTTTGCGGGGTGCTCCTGGCTGGTGGATTTGGCGGCCCCAGGCCAGAGACCCCAGCCCTAAGGCCAAGAGGGGTCTCTAGAGGGATACCTCTCCAGGGCTGTTCTTTTCTTTTTTTGACCCTGAATGTGACCTCAGGACATTGTCTCTGGCTTTGCTGTAGGGTTGGGGCAAGTCTCCTCCTTTCCGTATTTGAAGATCATGATTTCAAAGTCCCTTTGCTTCTGATCCCCTCAGTACAAAGGGAGGGGCGGACCCTCAAGCTTACTTGTTGGGCCCTTGGCCTTTTGCCTGGCCCTGACCTCAGAGTGGCTCCACACTCCACCACCCCCCAACTCCCAGAGGCTGGTGCTCCGGCTGCCAGTTGCTCCAGACACCCCCTCCTCCTCCCCCATCCCTTTCCGCTTCCTCTCACCCCCTCCTGCTCTCCCTGACCCCCAGGCCCCCTGTTCTCCCCAGACTCCCTCCCGCTCCCCTACCCTCTCCTACTTGCCTTCTCTCAGTTTAAGTCCTAGTACCCCCTTCTTTTTAAATTTATTGGGGGAATTATTTGGCGTCCTGGGGCAACTCCCAGTAGATATGACATCATATGGCACTGGGGGCCCCCAGGCATGAGCTCTGCCCCTTGAGCCATCTTTCAGGCCTGTGGATGAGGGGTGGGGCGTATGCAGGGCCTAGGTTGGATCCCCAACACCACATGGCCCCCTCGCATTCCTGGGGAGGGCTGAGGAAGCTGAGGTTCCGAGAGATGCAGTGACCAGCCCAATTTCCAATAAGGCATGGACTTAAGTCTCTTTTCTAGGGCTCTGCTCCCCGGGGCCCCTGCCTTGGCATCCCCCAACGGCCCCTGCAGAAGACCCCCAGGCCACTGCAGCTTCTTTGCCCTGCCACGGTAGCTGGCCTAGGGTGGCTGGTGTATGGGGGGCCCAGCCTGGGAGGCAGCTGGTGTCAGGGGCAACTGGCATGGGGTCGGCCGGTTTGAGGGGAAGCTGGAATGGGGTCAACTAACTCCAGGCCCCTCCTCTTGACACTCTGACTCCCGTTGAGACTCAGTTTCTCTTTCCAGAGAGAGGGTTCTTGGGTGCCCCCCGTGCTCCCCATCAGAAAGCCAGACTGGACCAGGAAGCTGAGAATGGCTTCAGCAGAGCTCCCAGGGCACTGGTGGGTCACAATGAGGGGGCAGACAGGCCCCATCCTGCCCCTCCTGGCCTTGCTGGGTGATGTGTTAAACAGGAGCGGGGGGGGGGGGGTCTCGGTTGGAATCTGCTGACCACCCTCCTCTTAGCACTTCCTGGCACTCCCAGCCCCTCTATAAATCTATTGTAAACTCATAGTGAGGTCAGCCTTATAAAACCAGGCTGAGATCAGGACCGCGGCCCTTTATCCGCCCTTGCTTGCCCACCGTGGCCCAGACTCGAGCTCGGGGCCCGCCCCGCACTGGCAGGTGGGTGTGATCGTGGTGCTTTCAAGTGCGGCCCCGCCACGCTCTGGGTGCGGTTGGCACTTTGTAGACAGAAGCTCCCTTCATCTCGCCTGAAACCAGGGCGGGGTGGCGCTGGGCACTGCTGCCACCCGCCCACCGCCCGCGCAGGCACCTTGTGCAATGCCAGGCGGGCCCCCCACATCCCACAGGGCGCTCTGGGGCAGGGGTGGCCGAGCTAAACATACACCTGGAGCCCCTAGATATGAAGCACTTGACCCCCCCCCCCCCCGCCCCGGTGTTTCCAATACACACTGCAAAATCCATCCCAAGGCAGCGAGGAAGCAGGGGTAGTGGCCAAAATGGGATTTGGGGGTCACATAAGGCTGGGTTGAATCTGGGCACCCAGGCCTGGAGCCTCTCGGAGTCTGCCTGACTCAAAACAGGGATGATGGTGCTGAAGCGATAGTACAGCGGGGAGGGCATTTGCCTTGCACACGGCTAACTTGGGTTCGATCCCTGGTGTCCCATATGGTCCACCAGCACCGCCAGGAGTGATTCCAGAGTGCAGAGCCAGGAGCGACCCCTGAGCATTGCCAGTTGTGACCCAAAAAGTCAAAGAAAAACTCCCCAAACCCAAAAACCAAAATAGGGTTGATGGCACGCCCTCCCCCGATGCCTCGTGGGGAGTCCCCCAAATGGCCAAAGTTAGTGAGCCTGCTTTCCTCATGTCCATTTTGGGAGGAAGCTCCCTAGCAGTGTTGGGACTAACCCTGGGACGGAATCCGCGTCCTGCCCTCTGGGCCTCTCCCCGGCTCAGCTCTCTGGACACAAGCCCAAGGCTGCTTGTGGAGCGCCGTGGGGTACGCTTCTCCCGTGACCATCAGCACCCCATTCTTCAGACGGGAGAGCCAATCAAGGGTGAGCCGTGCTGCTGATGGGGGCAGAGGGAACTGGGCCACTCACTGGGGAGCACCTTCCTTGAAAGCCCAGGATGGGTTGGGGGTATCTGGGGTGCAGGCTGTGGTCTGGGGCCACTCCAGCCCTGCCCCTCTGGGTAGGTGTAATCTCCTGGGCAGGAGTGGTGAGAGTGGATGAGTAGTGCAGGGGTTAGAGCACTAGTAACCCCTAGCATGCGTGGCCCAACTTCCCTGCACTGCATATACCCCGCCCCCCACAACACCGCTCTGCCCCTGTGGGGCCCAAGTACCTTGGAGAACCCCACGGCATCGGCTGTACGTCTGTACCACCAAGGGGCTGGGGCTCCACCTCACATCCACCCACTCTGGGTCCTGACATTAACTCTCTTGCCTTGGGGGGGCCGAGAATGACTGGGAGTGGCCCTGGGTCACCTCAGCACTGCTGGGGGACCCCCCTCCAAGTAACCTGAGTGGGGAGGACTGAGTTTCTGCCCTCCCCCCACACCCCTCCAGCCTTCGGCCCAGCTGCCCTTGGTAGCTTTTCTGGGATTAAGAGGATGGATCCGCCCCCCAGGATTTCCCAGAAGCCGCGGGGGGCGGGGAGCAGGCACTGCAGGGTCCCTTCTGGCCTGTTTAGCCCCAAGACTGCGGCAGCCTCCTCTCCTGGCGCTGGGCCCCACCTTGGCCCCAGCTGCCCCACCCCAGGAGTGGCTGAGTCAGCCCCCCAGTGCTGGCCCAGCCTCTGGGAGAAAGAGCCAGAATGCCCTGGCAGCCTCCCGCCTTCCTCCCCGGGGCTGACAGCTGATGGATGGATCCCGCAGGGCCTGCTGGGGAGGGACAGAGAATGTCTGGGGGTGGGGGCCGGACCTCCTCAGGTGCCCAGACACTGCCCGCCAGAGATCCCATTCCCAAGATCCTCTTGCCCTTCCCCTCCCCCCTGGATGCCACTCCTGAAGGGGAGGTCCGGTCCGTCCTCCACCCCCCCACCCCTGCTGTCCAGGAGCAAGAATCTCCAGCCCCGCTCCAGGCTGTGACCTTGGCCGGGCGCCGGCTCTCGTGACTCATTTTCTTCATCTGTGCCCTGAGACCATTGCACTGGATGTTCTGGAAGATTCCTTCCAGAGCAGTGAATCAAGTTTCTCCTCCTCCGTGTACCGCCCCCCCCCCCCCCCCCCCCGCCCCACACACACACCTGCCAGCTAATGTTGCTGGGCGGGGAGAGAGGGGGATAGAACAGGGGCAGGGACAGGGCACCCTGCTGCCCAGAAGCTAGGCTCGGTGGCGCTGTCGCAGGGAGAAGCACCCCCTCTCTCTTTGGTTTTCTTTTGATATGTTTTTGTTTTGGGGGCACACCTGGCGATGCCCTAGGCTTACTCCTGGCTCTGCATTCAGGCATCAACCCGGCGGGCTTCAGGATCGGGCCCCTTTGGGCTGCAGGCCAGGCGAGCGCCCTGCCGGTGGTACGGTCCAGCCCTGCACCTTCCTGTTCTGGCAGCTCCAGGAAACTTCTCAGGGAAGGAGCTTGGGAGCAGCAGAGGCGCGGTCAGGGGTTCCTGAACCTCTCTGGGAGGCTGTGGATGGGAGACACTGGCCCTCACCCACCCTGGGCATGTGCACCCCTGAGTCGTCAGCCTGGGTCTGGGTGCAAGACAAGAAGGGGAGATGCACAGCGTTCTGTGTTCTCCCCCCTCCCCCTACCTTACTCCCGCCCCCCTCCCATTCCTATTCGGCCCCCCTGTTGCTGTCTTAGGGGTAGGAGAACGGCAAGGGTCCCTGTCTGAGGAGAAGGACCAGGAGTAACCTGCTGCACCCCAAACCCACCCTGGGGAGGCCCCTGAGTCCGCCCCGCCCCCTCCCTCCGCCGCGGAACTGGGGTTTCCTGTTTTCCACATGCCTTCTTGGCAGTACTTTTCCCTTTTCTCAAGGTAGCGAGCACAGGCTGTGGGGTGGGAAGCACCCTCCGCCCTCCCCGGCAGCAGGACCCCCGGTAGCTGGGGGTGGAGCCGGAGAAGTGGGGTGCTAGAACGGGTCGGGCTCCCTGCCGGAAGGGGCGCCCTCCTCTGCCCCGCCCCCTCCCCGCCCTGGCTGCCTCCGTAGCGCCCTCTAGTGTCCACCTGCTGCCACTTACCTTTGTTTTGTCCCTGGTGTTCCCCCGCCCCCACCCCACCCCCATCCTGGGTCCTGGAGCCCCTTTATTCATTGTCACCCAGTCCCTCAGCACCCCCGGGTTCTGGAGCCTTGTTATTCATTGTCCCCCCTCAGCTCTTCATTCCACAAACATCTCCGGGGGTGCCTGTTTACGGGGGCTGCTGCAGAGACCAAGAAGGCTCATCCTGGTCTCCAGAAAGGCACAGGTTTGGGGAGACTTAGAGCACTGGGCCTGGGAGGAGCCCACTGTTGGGAGAGGCTGGGCAGCCGCACTGCCACGGAGCACCAGGAGGGCTTCTTGGAGTAGGAGGCAGCGGGAACTGGACCGTCCTCAAGCCAGGAGCTTATTCATGAGGGGCACCAGGGCGTCAGCTGAACTGAGGTGTCTAGAGTCGCAGTGGTGGGGGAGGACAGTCATCCCTGAGGAGCCCTTGTGAAGGCCACAGCCGAGCCCTATGGGCAGGTGCTTCTGTTTGTAGGTGCTAAATGAGCCATGTCCTTTGGATGAACGCTCAGATTTGCATTTTGTTTTTTTTTGGGGGGGGGCCTCCCAAGTAGTTCTTTTGAGGCCCCGGGGCCACTCCTGATGAGACTCAGTTCCCAGGCCAGCAAGAGGAGCTGGAGGCCCTGAAGCTCTGGTGCTGGGGGCCTCCAGGCCCACCCTGGGGGGGCAATTGGGGTTGACTGTGCCCATGCCCCCACAGTCTCCCCAGGACAGTCAGATTTGCATTTGGGCAGAGCCAAGGGCAGGCTAGGGCCGGGTCTGGCACTGAGGTGCAAAGAAAGGAAAGAAGAGGGCAGTGGTGGTAGGTGTGTGTGTGGGGGGCATTTGCCTTGCACCTGGTCGACCCGGGTTCGATCCCTGGCACCCTATAGAGTACCCTGAGCCCTCCTGGGAGTGATCCCTGAGCACAGCCAGGAGTAACTCCTGAGCATTGTCAGTGTGGCCCCCAAAACTAAAAAACACAAAAATAATGAATGCTGCCCAGCTGAGAAGGAAGAGAGGAGAAGGGGAGTTTGTGGGTGTTTTTTTTTTTTGTTTGTTTTTTACTTTTTAGGTCACACCCAGCGATGCACAGAGGTTACTCCTGGCTCATGTACTCAGGAATTACTCCTGGCGGTGCTCGGGGAACCCTATGCGATGCTGGGAATCGAACCCGGGTCGATCACATGCAAGGCACAACGCCCTACCCGCTGTGCTATCACCCCAGCCCCTGTGGGTGTGCTTTGACAGCTGAGAGAAAACCTGGTGAGGGGGTGAGGCAGTGCAGCAGGCAGGGTGCTTGTCTTACATGTGGCCAACCCAGCTTTGATCCCCAGCTCTTCGTGCGGTTCCCCCAAACACCGCCTGGAGCAACAGCTCCCCAGTGAAATAAATGCACCAATTCCTCCTTTCTCGGCCCCTATGGGCCACCAGGGTCTGGGCAGGGCCTGGAGCCGATGCTTGCACTACGCCAGGCCTTCCCAGGGCAAGATTTTTTTTCTCTTGGTTGCACCCCAGCTTCCCAGCCTATAAGTCACAAAGCTGGGAGAGTCAGAGCCCAGGGGTCCAGCTGCAGGGAGGGGCCGCGTCACTGGTGAGTGGGGCCAGGCAGGGGGTGGTCCAAGGATCAGGAGCAAGGGGGGTCTTCTTGGCTTCCTGGGCTGCAGGGAAGGCCAGACACTCCGGCAGGAAGCCCCCTTGGGCCCCAGTTTCTCCACGTCACTTCTTCTCTCTGGACCCCTCATTCCCAGCAGCCTCCCGCTCCCCCGGGCACCCACGTCCACAGACACCGGCTCTCACACGTGCCATCCGGGCACCGAGTGTGTTTATTAGAGTCCAACTGTGACCCACTCCACGGAGAGAGAGGGAGGGGGACAGGCGAGAGAGGGGACCCCGGACCAGACCCCAGTTGCTCCCCACTCTGCCAGCTGCCCTGCGAGACCAAGGAAGACTGGGTGACATCCCTGAGGACCCCAGGAGGTGGGGCTGAGGGCAGCGAGGAGGGGGTGTGCTGGTGCCCCAGGACCTCAGTCCGGGGGGTTGGTCCCCTCTCTTTCTTCTACTGCAGCACCCCCTCTCTGGCAGGAAGTCATGCTCCCTTAGACTGGCTCTCCCCGTGTCCCCTACCTACCCAACCCTACACTGCCAGCTGTCCCCTCCCCAGACCAGGGGGATACGGGGTCTTGCTCGGCCAGTGGCCGCCGACTCTCCTGACCTCTGTGCCCTCAGGGCTGCGTGCTTGTGTGGCCTGTCTGTCCCCATCTCTGCTGCTCAGAGGGCTTGGCAGGCGAGGGCCAGACCCAGAGTGGGGCCAGAAGTGGAGTCCATCTCCGTTCTTGGGCGAGCTGCCAGCTCATGACCCTCCTGGTCTGGCCCTCGGGGAGCCAGGGGAGGGATTTGGGGGAGACCGTGGGCCCCTCTGAAGTTCCAGCCAGCCCTCTCCTGCAGCCTGATAGGAAGGCAGCTGCCCCCCAGCCTGGAAGATGGGGCATCAGGGTTCAGCCTTTCCTACCTGCCTCCAAATAAGACCGTACTCCCTGTCTCTGCCTCCCCCCCAAGGGTCCCGGTAAGAAAGGCTATGGGCCTGGGGATGGGGCTTCCAGATCCCACACTGCCAAAGGTACCCCTGATTTTGGCTGCATGGCGCTGATGTCCAGCCTGGAGAGCTGGTCTCAAGCAGGAAGGGGCGCAGGTGGCCCCTGTGATCGCAGCGGCTCTTTGTTCCCTGGACCTGGTGGTCAGGCAGCAGGCGGGGAGCTGGGACCCTGAGAAGCAGCAGAATCTGGCTGCCCCCGGTCTGGAGGGCACCCCCCCACCAAGGTCTTCCCTGGCCCGGGGACCTCTCTGTGACCTTGGGGTGCGCCCCCCTCCCTCCCGTGTGAGTTTGGGGTCTCTGGGTTCAGAAGCCCCCACTCTCTGAGCTGCTCCGGCTGTAGTAGCTGGGACTGGGGGTCCGGGAGGGGCTGCGTGTGCGGCTGCGGGTCCCGCGGCTGCGGCTGCTGTAGCTCCCCAGGCTGGGCCCGGGGCTGGGGCCGGGGCTGGGGCTGCGGCTGGAGTAGTCGCTGCTCAGGCAGCTGGAGGATGAGGAGGGGCTGGGCCGGTAGTAGGGGATCGGGCGCTTTCTGGCACTGCGGGAGGAAAAAGCCAGTTACCTCCCACCCTTCCAGGGTCCTGAGGCTCTATCCAACACCCCCACCTCTGCAGTGACCAGGGGTTCCCCACCTCCTTTCCTGCCCTTCTGCCCCTCCCCATTTTTCCACTCCTAGGAGAGCCCTTCTTGCCAATTTCATGGGGTTACCTCCCTTCCTCCCCCCCACATGCTTGCTTTTCCGCAAGCATGGGGACCCATTTTAGCTTGACTGAAGAGGTGTCAGTTGATCTCAATATGGGGCTCCCCCCAGCATACACGCACCAGCTGCAAAGTGCCCTGCGTGCTCCCCCCTCCAAACAGACGAACAAAAGGTGGGGATGACCCTGGCCACTGCTGCGCATGTCCAAGCCTTGCCCATCTCCTGGCTCTGCTCCTCACCGAGCCCCCCCACTCTCCCCCTGAGCCCCCCAACCCCGAGTTAGTGTGAAATCAGGAAGCTGTGACCCAGAAAAAGAGTGGTTAAGGGGGCATTCTGCCCTGTGGCTCAGGGTTAATTCTGAGGAAGAAAAAGGGGGACATTAGTGGGGGGAGGAGGAGGAGATGGTGGCAGCCTGGGATGGGGGTCCCTGGGGGTGCTGGATGTAAGGGACCCCTCCGTGCATTGGTGGGGTATATAAGTTGTCTGGGGGTGTCCTAAGCTCGGGGACTTGATTGATATCTGTGCAGGGAGCTTGGAGCCATGCCAAGGGTGGAAGAGATCTGGGCGCCGGGGCACAGGGATCGCCCTTCCTGAGCCCAAGCAGAGCTGGTGCCCAGTTTCACATGGCCTCTGCCTCTCCCCGCCCATCCCCCACCTGGGGCCTGGCCATCAGGAGTGTGGGCAGACCCTATTCTCACAGACACTGTCCTGCTGGAGAAGCCGGCCCCGGTGTCTGTCTGTGGGTGCAGCCCCCTTGGCGACCCCCAGGCGTCTACCCCTTCACCCCCTCCTCCAAATCCCCGAGGCTGGAAGGTCAGAGTGGGGTTAGAGAGAGGAGAGGCGTCCGGATCGCTCACATGGGCATCCCCCGGCAGCCGGGGGGCGGGAGAGGGGCCACCTGGGCCCAGGGCTGCCCACAGGCCACTCGGCAGGCTGGACCTTCGACGAGGAGAGAAGGAGAGATGTTGTGGGGGTGGGAATGCGGACGGAAGGGCTGGGTGGCAGGAAACGGAGGTTTAGCGGCTCAGCTCCTGCCGGCTGCCCACCCCAGGTCCAAGGGCCTCCCCCGGGGAAGTTCCCCCCCACCCCGCCCCGCACCCCGGCATCTCCAGGCCCCTGGACTCTCACGGCTCCCCGCCGTGCGGATCCCTGCCCTGAACCCTTACCCGCCGTCCCCTCCGCCTGGAGGACGGTGGCCCCGTCCACACCACCCGGGCCTCCCCGTACCTGGTGATGCGCCGCGGCTCCATGAAGCTGGGCGAGTCCCGGCGCCGCTTGCGGATGGGCGAGTAGCTGCGGGAGCGGCGCCGGGCGCGGTTAGCCTCGGCCTCGGCGTGCCTGGCGCGGCCTTCGGCGTCCTTGTCCCTGCGGGGGCCCGACGTGAGCCCCACGTCCCGGCGCGGCGGCCCCGGCCTGCGCCCCCCGCCGCCCGCGCGCGCCCCGGCCGGCCCCGCTCACCGGCCCGCGGCCTTCTTGGGCGACGGCGAGCGGCTGGGGCTGCGGGTCCGCTTCTCCGCCGAGCGCGAGCGAGACTTGGACGGCGACCGGCTGGAGCCCCACGACCGCGGCGGGGGCCCGGGGCTGCGCGACGAGCTCGTCCCGTCGGGGCCGCCGTGCCGGCCGCGCGCGCCGGGGGACGGGGAGGTGCTGGCGGGCCGGGCGCGCGGGGGCCGCTCCTTGGTCCTGGACGGGGCGGGCGACAGGGGAGCTCAGTGGAGGGGCGCGCCCACTGCACCCGGGAGTGGGCACCCGGGAGTGGGTGGGGGGCGGCGGAGGGCGCGAGTGGCCGGGGAGAGGAGGGGGCCGGTGGTGGGGAGAGGGTCGGACGGCGGGGGTCCCGGGAGCGGGGAGGGAAAAGCCCCGGAGGGGGCGACTTAGATGGGGAGGAGTCACGAGGGGGGTGTCGGGAGGCCAGAGACGGGGTCGGTGGCCAGGTAGGGGTGAGGAGGGCAGGGGTGCAGGAAGGGCCAGGAGGGCAGGGGTGCGGGGAGGGGCAGGGCCAGGGAGGGTCCAGGAGGGCAGGGGTGCGGGGAGGGGCAGGCCCAGGGAGGAGCCAGGAGGGCAGGGGTGCGTGGAGGGGCAGGCCCAGGGAGGGGTCAGGAGGGCAGGGGTGCGGGAGGGGCAGGACCAGGGAGGGGCGAGGAGGGCCGGGGTGCAGGGAGCGCCAGGACTGCGGACCGTGACCGGGCCGGGGCGCGCGGGCCCGCGACTCACCGTTTCCCGTGCCCGCCGTGGCCTCGCTCGGAGCCGGGCTCAGCGCCGGGTCCCGGGGCGTCGCCCCCCGAGTCGCTGCTGGAGCGGGCCCGGCTGAGCGAGCGCGACGAGTCCCGGGGGGCCGCGGGCCGGGCTCGCCGACGCCCCCTGCGGCGGGGCGCGGACGCCGAGGAGCGGGAGCGCCGCCGCCGCCTTCGCCTTCGCCGCCGCCGCCGGGCCGGGCCCGCAGCGCCGCCTCCTCTGCCGGGCGCCGACGGCGCCGCGCGCGGGCTCGGGCTGTGCTTCCCCCGCGCCGGCGGCGTGGCTGCGTCGGCCTCCGCCTGGTCGCCGGCCCTGGGCGAGGGCGAGCTGGGCTTCTGACGGGAGAGAGGCAGAGAGGGGCCGGGGGTGGAGGGGGACAGAGGAGGAGGAGGAGGAGGACCGAGGGCCCGGCGGGAGAGGAGTGCGGAGGACAGAGGGACAGACGGACGGAGGGAAGGGAGAGGAACAGAGCCAGAGAAGGAGACGGAGACACAGAACCAAGAAAAGAGCCGGCAGAAACACCGAGAGGGAGGGGGAGAGAAAAGGACAGACAGACAGACAGGATGAGAAAGGAGAGTGACAGAATCAGAGACACAGAAAAGAGATAAAGAGACACACAGAGAGAGAGGAGGCGGGGAGAGAGGACAGAGAGGGAGAGAGAGAGAAGAGAGAGGGATGAAGATAGAGGAGAAAGAGAGGGAGAGAGAGACGAGAGAGATGGGGAGAGAGGAGAGGGAGAGAGGACATCCAGCCAGGAGCGAGCCCAGGGCGAGAGGAGACGGAGAGAGGGGGAGAGAAGGAGGGTGGTGGGGGGAGAGAGGGAGAGGGGGCTTTCATCGGGCCCAGGCGGGGGGCCCCATGGCCCGAGCATCGCGCACACGGTTCCCCGCGCCTGGCCTGCCTGTCTCTCTGTTCCACCTTCTGGGCCTCACACTGCAGCTCATGCAAGGTTCTCGGCATGCAAAACACAAGGGGAGGGGTGCGGAGCGGTGGGGGGGGCTGAAGGGGAGGGGGCTCCAGAACAGATGGGGGCTGGCCTTGCCCCCCCCAGGGGACAGACGATCCCGGCAGAGAGAAGAGAGAGGGCAGCCCGGGGAGGCCGGGCCAGGGCCAGCCCACCAGGCCGGGGCCCCCAGCGCAGGGGGGTGTGGGGGGGAGGGAATGGAGGGGCACACGGCACACAGATGGAGTGAGGGCGGGTGGGGGGGCTGGACAACTGAACTCAAAACTGAACCGAAGAAAGGGAGGAAAAACAAATTGAAAAATAAAATCCACAAATGTCATTAGATACCAAACTCAAAAACAAAGCCTGAAACTCCGGGACGGGGAAACGGACATTTTCCTGTCAACATGGTCCTTTCCTCGGCTTCAGCCCTGCAGAGACCCGTGGAGCTCTCAATAGCGCCCGACTGTCTTTCTGTTTCTCTCTTTTCTTTTTCTTTTTTTCCTTTTTCTTTTCTTTTCTTTTCTTTTTTTTTTAAAGCTCTGATTTTGTACTTCCCTCTTGGTTACGTCCACTTACCAATAAAGTGGTACTTCCTCCTTTAGTAGGTGTGTAAGAGAAGGGAAAAGTGTGGTAGCATAAGTTCATCATTAGATTCACAAAAATGCAAGAGAGATAGAGAGAGAGAGAGAAACGCAACCACCCCACTCTAGGCTGTGCAGAGGGCGGCAGCGCCGGCTCCGGGCCAACCGCTGGGTAGCAAGACGTCTGGGCTTTGGGGGGAGCGGGTGTTGGTTTGTCTTTTCCAGAAGTGGAGTCGGGACTTGAGGGTGGGGCTCTAGAAAGCCACTTGAGGGTGGGGCTCTGGCTGGGGTCCAGAAGCTCCAGGGCCTGCCTCGACCTCGCTGAGTGACACTGACCACCTTCCCCATCCCTGGCCTCAGTTTCCCCAACCTCAAAGGGAGACGGTTGGGTTTTGCTTCTGGAGCAACATACCCCTGGATTTTCTGCACACTCCCTTTGGGCTCACATCGATGGCGTGGGTCTCTGGACGCCTGTTTCCCTCCCCAAAGCCCCGCCCCCGTCCCGCCATCCCTAACACCATTTTGGGGCACCACCGAGGCAGATCCGGGGATTTAGCTCTGCGGCCTTAATTTGCATCGCAGTTTTGGCTTCCACTAAGGCCTCCATAAGGAGCATGCGCCCTTGCAAGGGCCAGAGGCTGGGGCCAGCTTTTGGACAGAAGGGGGAAAAAAAACACCTGCCCCTTGTGGGGGCACCTGTGCAGGCAAAGACCGACAGAAGCGCCCAGGATGCTGCCCCACGCTACAGTCCCGGAGACCTTGGGTCGTGGAGGCGGGGTCGAGAGAGCCTATTGGTGAAAAAGTGCAGCTGGCTCGTGATTGGTGGCTAAAGCAGCCAATGAACATCTAGCAGTGAGCGCCGCTGCCCCGCGTTAATTGGAATCGAAGATTTCCTGGGAGAACTTGGAGGGTCTCTGCTTGGGGCAGAGGCTGGCGGAGTGGATAGCATCAGGGATCGGGGTGCCCCTCCAACACCCAACTTGCCTGATCATCATCTCACCCCTAGATCGGGGGAGGTGGGTGCTGGGTAGTCCAGCCGTCTGAGATGGTTCCTTTCAGACAGCGCCCGGAGACCCTGGTCCCCCGAGACACAGTCCTGCACCCTAACAGAGGCCTCACAGCTCCCAAGGCCCCTCCCTGCTCCGTCCTTGGCTCTGTCATCAACAATTCCCTCCAGAAGGAGCAAAGAGGAAGGAGCTCCAGATCCCTTATGTTTCTAGCGGCCGGAACGTGGAGCCCCGAAAACCAATGCATAGTGGTCCATACCGAAGGGGTCACCGGGCCCCTCCTTTAAGAAGTCTTTAACTTGCTTTTGATTGAAGGGTGGCTCAAGGCAAATAGGCAGGAAATGAACAGGGAGATTCTGGGCAGCACGTGACTCCTGCTCCAATCTAACTCTGAGCTGGGCCAGCTGCTTGGGCTTTAGGGAGAAATGACGCTGCGGGGGGCGGGGGGGTGGAGCCAGGTGCCAGGCACTGTGGGGCCCTCTAGACCCCCGGGCTGAGAGTGAGACAGGAATTTGAGGAACCTGAAGGTGCCATCAGCCCCGAAGGAAGAGTCCTCGGTTGATCGTGCGCCCCCTGCCGACCAAACACGGACGTGCATACATTCCCTTTCTCCCGGGCACCTCTCAGACCCAGAGAGGTCAGTCAAGTGGGACACCCTGAAATCACCCCGAGTTTGCTGAGGCCTTGAGTAAATGACTCAACCCCGTGGCCTCAGTTTCTCCAGTAGTCAAAGCAGAGAGGAACTGAGCTGGGATCCTTGCTGGGTCGACCAGGAGGGAACAGAGTGCTTCGCAGACTCTGGGCAGTGTAAGAAAGCCAGAAGCCTCCAGGGGGACCCCAAGTCTGGGTGTGCTCAGGGTGGCAGAGGATGGGAGTCAGGGGCTGCGGGTGGGGTGTTAGAGATCACTGGGGGTGGGGAGAGTCCTAGGGCCACCCTGGAGGCTGAGCCGGATGGGGCCCTCACGGTTGCCTGGTGTGAGCTTTCACTTCCAGTTCATTCATTCCTCCCCAAGTCGAGGGTGTTCCAAGTCCAGACACTACGGTGGGGGCGTCCTAGCTGGAAGGGGTCTTGGTGGCAAGGGACCTCCAAGCATCGCCTCCAGAGCCTGCTGTGGTTACTCCTGCCTGCTTTCCCTTCTGCCTCACAGCCTGCTAATGCCTGTGATTCTCTACTCTTAGCTCAAGGGCTGCTGCTTCCAGGAAGTCCTCCAAGAGGGATCAGGAGGGGAGCCCAGCCAGAAATGCTCCTTTCCATCTCTTCCTCCTATCAGTCCAAATGGGGCCAGGTCTGAGAGACAAGGGCATGTCTGGAAGGTCAGAGGCTTGGGGAGCTGAGTTCAGGTCACTGCCTCCCTGACTTGATGGCTGAGTGCTCCCGTGCTGGGGCCTCCTGCAGTTAGGGCCTCCATCAGACCCGCAGCACTTCCTCCTTGCCCAACCAACTTCCTTCTCTGTTCTCCTGGTACCCCCGGAAGAGGTTCAGAGTAAGTGATTTCCCCTGGACCTGCCCATGAGGTCCACTTCGAAAGAAGAGAAGGAATCGTTGGGGGTGGAGGCCTACCCAGGTGGGCAGAGAGGGGGTCCCCACCCTGAACTCTGACTAGGACCCTCAGCATGCCCAGATGAACCTAGACCTCCTCTGTCATCAGCACCGCGAGGGCCGGGAACGCTCTGTACTAAGGGAACGCAGGATCTCAAGTTTGGAAGGTAGAGGTGTTGGCAGGGGAGAGAGGTTCCCTGTCTGGGCTGGGGTGGGGGATGGGTTTTCTGAGAACCCCCTCCAGCCCCCAGACTGTCCTCCAGACTTAGTGGGCCTGCCCTCCAAGGCCATGCCAACTTGTGGCCTGCCCGGTGCCTCATCCATGTTCCAGTACCGTCAGACCCCAAAGTTGCAGCTGTGAGGGGCAGCCAAAATGCAGGACGCCCAGAAGGGCCCGGGAGGAGGGACAGCGGCCCTTCCTCGAGGCTGACCTCAGTGAGAAATTCCTCCCGAATCCAGTGCAGGCCCGTCCACGCAGCCCGCGTGGAACCCCCCCACGGCTTAGCGGCTACTCCAGACAACGGAATCAAAGAGGTTCGAGGGCATCGGACCGGAGTGGGAGGGAAACACAAACTCGAGAGCTAAACCACACACAGAAATGCATTCGACAACACGCTGAGAAAGAGGGGGAGCGAGGGGGGGAGGCAGAGGGAGGAGGAGCAGGGCAGGGAGAAGGAGAGAAGAATGAACCAGAAAAGTGAAGGGTCGGGGAGTCACGGGAACCACGGGAGAGAACACCAGGAGGCGTAGCTTTGCAGCTCATTTGGAGGAAATGCAAGTTACACATGAAGACGGTGAAAGAGAAAGGGGGAGATTAACCAACCAGAGCGAGACAGATCTAGAGAGAGAGAGAGAGAGAGAGAGAGAGAGAGAGAGAGAGAGAGAGAGAGAGAACCACATTCAAACCAAGCAGAGAGGTGGGGCTTGCCTGAGATGGGACCAGCGAGTGCACAGCTGAGCCGGGATACCTACCTTCTCAGTGGTCAGGGACCAGGGACAGGAATGCAATAATAAAAAAGAAAAGAAGGTCTCCGCGTGGGGAATGCAGAAGGGGGCCAGCCCTTGACTATGCTGTGCTCCCCTTGGGCCTGGCCTGGCCAGCCCAGGCGCCTCTCCCCTTTCTTTGTCCTTATACCCCACAGCCGCCAAGAGTCCAGCTTTCTCCTCAACTCTTCCCACCACTGAATTCCTCCGAGGGCATGCAGGAAGCAGCCGATGGAAGGGTGGGCTGGGGGGAGGGAAGGGGGCGTCCGGGCTGGGAGCATGGGGAGAGAGATGGAGAGGAAGACAGCAGGAGACACGGCAGAGACACGGACAGAGACAGAGAGACCGTGGAGAAGCAGGAGGAGATACAGGTAGACGAGACAGGAATGGAGCAGAGCTGTCGAGACAAGACCGCAGCGGAAGGATGGGGGCCAGGGGTCATGCATTTAAAAGGGAAGGCAACCTTGTTCCACTGGAGGGCTTGATCAGCCTCGGTCTAGCCCACTCTCCTATCCTCTGATTTCAGCATCTGGGCGGGGGGAATAGGGGTCTCTGGGAGAGTTGGAGCGACAGGACAGCCGGAAGGGCATTTGCCTTGCACATGGCCGACCTGGGTTTGAGCCCAGCACCCCATAGGGTCCCCCGAGCACCGCCAGGAGTGACTCTGGAGTGAGAATCAGGAGTAACCCCTGGGGGGACAAGGCCAGGGCACCCTCTTCCTCTTCCTACTTGGTCCCCTTCCAGTATGGTGGTCATTGATTTTTTTCTGGGGGTGCTGGGGAGGGCCATGGACCCTACCAGCTCGGTCATCCTAGGTGAAGCATTTGGCATCCTAGGTGATGCTGGGAGTGGAGCCAGAGGGAGGTCAGAGCTCAAGGGGGCTTTGATCCCAGGTCCTGCCCCCTCGCCAAGGCAGATTCAAGCTATGGGGTTCTCCTCGGCCACACAGTGCCACTCTGAGCGGCTCTCACCCAGCACCTTGCTATTGAGGCCCCATGGTGTATGAATCGGGGGGGCTTGGGCTCCAGAGGGGCCGGGAGAGAGCAGAGACAAGTGCCCTGGGCTGGAGGAAGGAAGGCGTTTGCTTTGCACACAGCCAACCCGGGTTCGATCCCTGAGCCTCCCCAGGAGTGATCCCGAGTGCAGAGCCAGGAGTAAGCCCTGAGCACAGCCAGCGGCAGCCCCAAAACCAAACAGAGGGACCCTGGATCACATAGGGCCCACCCAGACCTAGTCTCAGCTCAAGCAACTGAGAGAGTTGGGAGCAAACATCAGTCATCTGGGGGGGTGGCTGGGGGAGAGAAAGAACACTGAGACAGCCAGTGTGCACCCCCTTCTGCTTCCTCTTTTCGGGGGCCCTGGGGTGTGCCTCATGGAACCCCCCTCTCCACCTCCAGCTCTACCTCTCAAAAGCTGTGTGACCTAAAGTTGGTCTCCTGCCCTCTCTGAGCTGCAGGTTCCTTCTGAGAGTGGAAGAACCCAGAAATTCCTTTGGGGTCCTGGTCTGGGAGGGGCCAACAAAGCAATGTGCTGGGGGGCCCAGTCACAAGAGTAGGATGGAAAGTTTCTCTTGCCTGGGAGAAGTTCCTGGAAGTTTCTCTTGCCTGGCTGGCTTTGCAGGCCTCACCTATGAGTCAGCTCAGAGGATCCCTCACTCTCTCACCCAGGGACCTGACTAGGCTTGGAAGGTTCTGGGTGCCCCGCCTCTGTCCACATGGGTTACATCAGAGGTTACAGGTTACAACCAAAGGAGCCAGGGCTTCCCCCGGGGGTAGGGACCAGTCTCTCCCACCCCTGTCTAGAAAGGCCCTGGGGTGCACCTGCCACTGATGGAGGAGCTGTAGGCGTGGAACCCCTGTTTTAAAGTTATCTTCCCTTTTAAATTCTGATTACAGAGGGAGAAAATAAGTGTATAGAGAAATGATATGGTGAATGTTCACTTGATATTCCAAACCATCTCCTCGATAGAAGACTCCCCACAGTAACACACACAAAAGCGAGATTCAGAACAACAGAGAGAGAGAGAGAGAGAGAGAGAGAGAGAAAGAGAGAGAGAAACCCAGACAGAGTTTGCATTTCTGTACATCAGGAAAAGAAAAAAAAACTTAAAAAAAGAAATAAGAGAGGGGAAAGGAACACCAACAAAACCAAAATAACTCCCCCCCTTCCCTGGGTAAAGGAGACAAGGAATCACAATATTACCACGTGTCAAGTGGGAGGCTAAAAACACAAACAAAAACATAGACGGGGTTAAAACCGTGAGCGCATCTTTCCATTCTCTCTCTCTCTCTTTCTCTCTCTGTTTTCTTTCTGCAAGGCAGCGTCCAAGAATGCCCCCCCAGCTCCCCTTGATTACTTCCCCCAAACTGGTTTGGTTTAGTGAAGGACAAGGTCGAGACCCCCAAGCCCCTCGTGTCCCGGGGTGGCACCAGATGAGCCCCATAGTCCGGGGCCAGGGCCAAGGCAGAGGCCCCAGAGAGGAGGGGTGCATGCGGGGGCTCCCCCAGGTGGGCGCGCCCCAGCCCTTCCCTCCCCCAGGCTGGGGTCCAGGCATCTCCCCTCACTGCACATTCCTGGGCTTGCCCAGTGGCTGCGGGGGTATATGTGTGGGGGGGGGGGATTCTATCTGCACATGCTCAGACCTCCAGGGTTCTGGGGGAACCAGAACCTCCTTTAGGCTCCGACCGGAGCTCCCCCTCTCCAGGAGGGTGGGCATTTCCCTGAGAGAGGCGTCGTGGGGTCACTGCGCCCGTGGAGCGAGCACCATCTCACCCAAGGCACCTAGTCCTGGCTGTGCTCAGTGACCGCTGTGTGCCCACTCCCGCCTCAGACCCAGAGAGGGACATTGGTGTGACCCTCTCTGCATGGGCCCGCCAGGACCCTGTGCCCCAGGAGCCTGTCGTCCTGAGACCAGGAGGGAAATGGATTCTTTGAGCCTGGCCAAGTCCTCACTCAGAGGACCTTGATACCAAGAGTTTCAGGGACCCTGCCCTGGGTTTTCCCGGCTGGGGGGAGCGCAGAGCAGAAGGAGGACAGCAGGAAATCAGAAGGACCTGATGGCCCCGTTGGTGTCCGGGACAAGCCTGGGGGAGGGCGCGGTAGGCCTGCCGCCCCCAGCACCCCCTCCGGGGGAACCCCCTCCCCAACTCAGCTGCCAGCTTCTCTCTTCACCACCTCAGGATGGGAGGGGAGCTTTAAGGGGTGTCAGGGGAGTCGTAGATGCCGGGTGCCTCAGGAAGGATAGGCCACAGGAAGTGCACCCCAAGTTCACTGCACCTAGTATGGACGAGGACGGAGGAGCAGGGACTTGAGAAGGGCAGCTGGAGGGCGGGGTCCGAGAGAGAGGGTGAGGGGGGATGGAGGGAAGGGGCTCAGAGAGGGATCAAAGGTTTTGGGAGGGGCTCGGTTCAGAGTGATGGGTGGGACCGGAGATCCTGTCTTTCGAACCCTGATCCTGACTCCCACCAGTTTGCAAGATCCCCCCCGCCCCTGCACACCCCATCTCCCTGCTGGGGAGGGGCCCTGGGGGGCGCCGCCGCGGGCGGGCAGGGGGCGGCGCGGGGGAAGGCGGGAACCGTGGGCGCAGCGAGGCTACGTACATCGGGCGGGCCGCGCGCTCCGCTCCGCTGCCGCCCGCCGCCGCCGTTCTGCCGCGGCGACCCCCATCCGCTGCCGCCCGAGCGGGAAGGCGACCGGCTCGCGCTGGACCGCTGGCTGCCCGTCTTCCGCCCGTCGTCTCGGTGCCGGGAGCTCGGCCTGGGGTGCGGGGAGCAGGGGGGCGGGGAGGCGGCGTGGGGCGCTGCGTCTCCGCCCCGCGCCGGCTCCTGGGGCGCGGGGGCGGGGGTCTGACCGCGGCCCCCACCCCCGGGCTCCGCTTACCTTCTGGGCGACCTCGAGTCGCTGTCCTGGGAGGAGAGGGCGGGGCTGTTGGGGCCGCTACTGCTGTGTCCTCGGCCCCGCGGGCCTGGGGAGTCCGCGTGGGGCCTGGGGGACAGCGGCAGGCGCTTCAGTCCGCCTGACCCCTGCTGATGCCAGGGGGGCACATGCCTGCCAAGTTCCCGGGCTGCCAGTCGCATCCGTGGCCGCCAGCAGCTCCGCATGGCTGGGCCTTGGAGGCCAAGCACCCCTGGGAGAAGTCCCGGGTGCCCCCCCCCCAAGAAACCCCACAAGGCCACTGAAGTCACCCCCTCAGATCGCTGACTCCAGCAGGGAACTCAGGAAATGACAAGGACAGGCCTGAAAGGATGCTGGCTCGGGCACAGGACTGGACCCTGCTCTGATGCGACCTGGCCCATGCGGGGGGCACTGGACTTCCTCCCCGGGCAGGGGCATTAGGCAGGTCCCCTCCCCTGTGATTTCTGGGATTCTAGAAAGTTCGCTTGGCCAAGCAGAGGGGCAGAGCGTGTGGGGGACTCACCTCTTCCTCTCTTTGTTCCTCTCTTTCCTTTTGCTCTTGGGGCTTCGAGACCTGTGGAGAGCAGAGGCGTGGGGGCACGGCGTGGCTGAGCCCACCTGACCTGGGCACCCCGGTGCTGTATCTCTGACCCGGGCCCCTGATGCTGCCTCTTGTCCCCAGCCCAGCTGTCCTCCGCCTTGACAGCCCCAGGGTCAGTACCAGCCCAGCAAGCCGCTGCCATTGGAGGTGCCTTGGAGATGTATCTCGTATCTGTCCTAAGACAGGAGAATGCCGTGGGGGCTCTGTGGGGGGGGGGTACCTCACTGTTTCTCTGAGCCCCCAGCCCCCTCAGAAAGGGAGCCCAGCTCTTCTCTTCAATGGGGTCCCGACTCTAGGGCCCCCCATAGTGGCTTTAATAAAGAAAACCTTGGGTATGATCTTTCTGCTTTGTAGTTTCTCACGGGGGTCCCCATTCCATCTTGTCCCATCAGCTCCTGTGGGTCAGCTCCCTAGGTGAGCTCCCTCACTTTTGACAACGGGATTGGAAGCTTCTAGTAGGTCTCCTTCTCTAGGTCTCTGGTGATGGCTCTGTTCCCCCCGCACCCAAGTCCATCGAAGTTCCAGCAGCCTCATCAAAGTCTGACCAGTTACGAGGAATGCTGAGAGGCTGGAAACGGGGGAGCGACAGGACAGTGGGGAAGGCCCTGGCCTTGCAGGTGGCCAGGTGGGACTCAGTCCCCAACACCATGAAGAGTTCTCCAAGCATCATCAGGAGTGACCCCAAATACGGAGTACAAACCCAAAAGGGACTGTGACTGTGCCTCTCACAGGAGCAGAGACAAACCTGGGAGCCCCAGAGTGTGGGTCCCAGATGTCCTGCTGTGTGCTGGTCCCGCTGCTCCCCATCTGAGGCTGCAGCCCCCCCCCCCATTTCCTGCTGCTTCTGGGGGTGGAGTGGCCACTCGGGGACAGTAGGCATCCACACTGGTCCATAAGAAGGGGGAAGTCCCCCTGAGTCCCTGAGCAAGAGCCCCCAGAGATAGCGCCACCGTGTGGTAGCCAGGTCCACTGGGGCTGCCCCGTGTCCCCCCAAACCCCACGTCTAGTAAGGCTCCTGAGGCCCAGGACACAGCCCTGGAACCGGACCCTCTGGTTCCGCCTGGGAATTCTCGGGGTCCCCCGTGGTGCAGGCAAGGTTGCAGCCCCCCCTGGAGCGGGGAAGGGGCAGAGCTGCCCTGAGGGCTCTGAGCACCCCTCGCCGTCGCGGCTCACCTATGCCTTCTCTTCCTCCGGGACCCAGAGTCGGACCTGCAGGCCACAGAAGGTGGTTTTGAGGCACCTGGGGTGGCTCTGGGGCTCCCGTGCAGGGGGGCTGCCCCCCAGAGGGTACCTGTCTCTCCGGTGCTTCTTCACACTCTTCCTCTTCTTGCGCAGGGGTGACGGGCTCCCACAGCTGCGGATAAAGGCGTGTGCTAAGGGTTCTCGTGCAAGGCCTCACCAGGTAGGTCTCAGGGCCTCCAGCCCCCTGTTGGCTGGTGGCGCCCGCAGAGGGCGAGTTGACCCTTGCTGTCCCCTCCAACCCCATGGACGGAGACAGGCTCCCTGGGGGCCACCTGGTGGCAGTGTCACACGTGCACACTCATACACACTCACACAGACTCATGCTCACACATACCACTCACACTCACACACATTCACACACAAACACACAACTTACCCTCACACATACACACTTACGCATTCACAACACACTTTCACACTCCCACGTTCACTCACACGCTCACACACCCGCACATTCACACTCACATTCACACTCACTCACCCGCACTCTCACGCCACCCCTCCCCTCACTGACCTGTGCTCTGGCTCTAGTCTCCTTTTTTTGCTGCGGAAGGGGAGAAAGGACAGACAGACAGAGGAGGGTCAGTGGTTTCGACCCCCTGGGTCAGGGGAGGGGTCCATGCGGAGAGGGGGGACCCAGCAAGCCCCTCGTGCTGTGTGGTGGGCTCAGTGCTGGGGAAGGGGGGAGGGGAACAGAGGAAGGAAGGGGATGAGAGAGTGGACCCCAGAAGGGGGGGTCAGTGTGGGCCCCCCTGCCCCATCCCCCTCACCGGCCCCTGCGGCGGCGACTTTTTTTCTTCTTCTTCTTCTTGGGAGGGGGCGATGCTGAGCTGCTTGACCAGTGCTTGGTCCTGGGGGGGAGGGGGCAGTGAGGAGAGACCAGCCTCGGGTTCCCGCCCTGATGGGAGCCCCCTCACCCGCAGCCGTGGGGTTCCCCTGGCTGGCATTCCAACAGGCAACATTGGGGTCCCTTCATCCTGCCCCAGTCGATGTCCAGTTTGTAACACTGGGGTCCTCCGACCCGCCCCCTCGCCAGCGCCCCGCCCCACGCCCCACCCTGCAGCTTTGGGGTCTCCCACCCCGCCCCTCGTTCTGTCCTGCAGCGTTGGGGTCCCCGCCCGCACCCCGACCTGTAGCCGCGGGGGCCTCGCTCGCAGGAAGCCGGGCAGTCACAGTCGAGCGGGCCGTCGCCGTCATCATCGTCCAAGGGCGCGTACTCGAACCCGGGGTCGGGGCCCTCGATCATCCGCGGGGTGTCGGCCACGCTGCAGGCGACAGGGACACTGAGCACTGGGGCCCAGCGAGGGTCTGTATGACACCATCTCTAGAGGGTCTGCGAGAGGGCGGTACCCTATGGGGGAGGGGCCCCCAGCATCCCTTCAGCCCTGCGCAAACCCTGCACCCCCAAGTCTGCCTCTCAGAGACCCAGTCCCCTTGGGTGGTCTCCCTGACCTACTGCCAAGTTGACCCCTCACCCCCTCCACCACAGCCCCCTCTGCAGCACTCCGCACCCCAGACTGTATCCCTCGGTGAGGGCTGCCTGCACCCCAGGGCCTCGGGGCTGTCCCCAGGTGCCCACAGGTGCTGTCCCTGAAGGTGTGGGACCGCTGCAAGCTCTGAGGGGCCCCTCAGGTCTCTGTGAGCTGCTGTCCCCTCTCGGGGCCTCTTCTCCAAGAAGTGAGTCATCCCTCCCCTTGAGAGCACTCTGTCCTCCCAACCCCAGCCCCCAAAGAACCCCCCCCCCACATACACACATCCTGGACTTTATTTCCCGAAGGGGCCGCTCACGCTCACCCATCCCAAGGGAGCTCTGCCTGGCAGAGGCGAAGCTGCCCTCGCACCCGGGTGCTGCCTGTTGGCTGGGGTTGGGGGGGAAAGAGACAGAGAGAAATAGAAAAAAGAGAGAGGAGAGAGGGAGAGAGAAAAAGAGAGACATAGAGAGAGAGGGAGAGAGAGAGACATAGAGAAAGAGAGAGAGAGAGAGAGAGAGAGATGGAGGGAGAGAGAGAGGGAGGGTGGGAGAGGAAGAGGGAAAGGGAGGGAGGGAGGAGGGAGGGAGAGGGAGGGCAGAGAGCGTCCTCAGAGCTTCCCTTGCCCAGAGGGCTGGGACTTGGCATGGGCTTTGGGTCACTGGTCAGGCCCGGATCCAGGTGGCACTTAAGAACCAGTCGGCCTCAGCCGCACACGCTAGGGGAAAAGGCAGCTCAGATAGAGAAGGGAGCACCAAGTAAAGGGTGTTGGGAGGTTCCTCTCAGGATGGGAGATGTGTGATGAGAGTAGACTATAGACCGAGCATGATTGCTACTCAATGTCTCTTTTGCAAACCACAGCACTCAAAAGGAGAGAGAGAACAAAAGGAATGCCCTGCCAAAGAGGCGGGATGGGATGGAGGGGATGGGGGGTGGGAGGGATACTGGGACCCGTGGTGGTGGAAAATGGGCACTGGTGGAGGGATGAGTATTTGATCATTGTATAATTAAAACCCAAGCACAAAAATTTGTAAGTCTACAACTGTACCTTGTGGTGTTTCACTAATAAAAATTTAAGGAAAAAAATAATAAAATAAAGAAAAAGAAAGAAAGAAAGAAAGAAAGAAAGAAAGAAAAGAACCAGTTGGCCTCTGGGAGCCAATCTGGCAGCCAAAAACCTCCAGAACTCAACCACCACCATGCTCATAGCTGCTCTCCGCAGACTTGGGATGAACCTCACCCGTGAGTAAACGCATTTGCGGATGCGTGACATCTCATACTTTGCACCACTAAGATTCCAAGGGTAGCGCGCCACATTTGATGGGGTTTAGAGCAGAAGGCAACCAATCCTAGGGGAAATATATTTTTACATATATAAAAAATATATATATATGAGTGACAAGGCTCAAACCTTTAACATATTAGTAATCTCTTATAGAAGGGCTTAATGGCTCTTGGATGAAATACAAACAATCTTCACACACTTTCCTCTAAGAAACCTTTTTTTGGCTTTTTTTTTTAAATTTTTTTGAAAGGAAATACATGTATCTCCATCCAGTTAGAATTTTATTTTATTTTATTGGTTTGCTTTTTTTTTGGGTCACACCCGGCAATGCTTAGGAGTTACTCCTGGCTCTGAACTCAGGAATTACTCCTGGTGGTGCTCGGGGGACCCTATGGGATTCTGGGAATCGAACCCGGGTCGGCCACATGCAAGGCAAACGCCCTACCCGCTGTGCTATCGCTCCAGCCCCCAAAACCTTTTTTTTTCCTTTGGATCATTTTTAGTGGATTATACAAAACAAGCAATACAAAATAAATTATTTCATTTCTGCTTTGGGGGCAGGGTTTGGGGTTCGGGATGGAAACATCTGGAATACAGTGATGGGAAGGTTTAATGGTGGTGGGATTTGGTGTTTGAATATTAAATGTAATCAAATATTGTGAACTACTTTAAAAGGAGAAAATAAATTTAAAAAAAAATAAGAACCAGTTGGCTTATGGGGCTGGAGCCATAGAATAGCGGGAGGGCACTGGCCTTGCATGAGCTTGGTCCCGGCACCCCATATGGCCTCCAGATCACTGCCAGGACTGATTCCCGAGTGCAGAGCCAGGAGGAAGCCCTTAGCACCACCAGGTTTAGCCCCCAAACAGAGAAGAAGGCGCCGCTTCGAGGAGTCTCTCCTGGGAGATTCTGCCTGTGAGGCCCGAGGGCGGGCACCACCACTGCCATCAGGGGACCTTCTCCTCCCCTGGAGAGAGGGTGAGGAGCCCTGGGAGTGCGCCCAGCCTGGGAGTGCTCCCGGGGCTCTGGAGAGAGGCTGCAGTGGCAGAATCAATTGTGTACTGAAGACACGCCGCCGTCCCCTGCCCAGGCCAGGTCCTGGTCATGCCCTTCACACCAGACTTGCATCCAGGGTGCTCGGGGAGAGACTCATGTCACCTGCCTTGCAGAGCTGCCTCTCCCCACTCACTCTCCCCTCCCAGAAACATACTTTTCCCAAAATCAGTGGCCGGCCTCCTCTGTCTCTGGGGGGCTCCCATCCACCCCGCTTCCCTGTACACCCCACACAGCGTGTGGGCACACTCAGGCTGACACATACATCAAACCTCCGGGCACTTGCCATGGCAATCCATGGGTGCACCCGTGGGGGTGAGGAGAAAGAACCTGCTCTCTGGCCGCACCCTCTGTGAGCAGGTGATGCGGCCAGAGCGCCACGGGCTGACGGATAGGGCCAGCATTCCTCCCACGCAGGCTGAGTCTGGCTCTGGGCACCCAACTCTGCGCCAGCTCCCTGGCTCGGCTCTGGCAGGGACAGAGTCCCACCCGCCTCGTTTCCCTGGGCCTCATCACTGTCCACTCCCTTCCCTATCCACAGGTTGACTTGAGAGGGAGGGAGCACTGGGGGCCAGAGAAGGCGGCATAGCTAGCGGGCAGCGGACTCCTGGGGTGGCCCTGGAATCTTCTGGAAAGACTGAGAGAGGGCGTCTACTATGTGGGTGTCCAGGTCTTTTGTTTGTTCACTTTGAGGCACACCTGGTGGTGTTCAGGGGTCACTCCTGGCTGGCTTTGGGGACCGCATGGGATCCAAGCCCCTTCTAATGAACCAGTGGGTGCCTACTGCCCCCTGGTGGTTGCCGTCAGCCAGCACAGACCCTTCACCCTTAAAACCCAAGGAAATGAGTGGGGGGCTGCAGCCTCAGACCCGGAGCAGCAAGACATCTGGAACCCACACCTTTGGGGTCCCAGATCTGCCTCTGCTCCTGTGAGAAGCACAGTCGCGGTCTTTTTTGGTTTTGTGTTCTGTATTTGAGGTCACACCCAGTGGCACTCAGGAGTCACTCCTGGTGGCACTTGGAGGACTCACAGGCTCAGCTGCATGCAAGTCCAGTGCCCACCTGCTGACCTATTGCCCCATCCCTCAGGTTTTCACTTTTTAAAATTTTTTATTTTATTTTTTGCTTTTTGGGTCACACCCGGCGATGCTCAGGGGTCACTCCTGGCTCTGCACTCAGGAGTTACTCCTGGCGGAGCTCAGGGGACCATATGGGATGCTGGAAATCGAACCTGAGTTGGCCACGTGCAAGGCAAATGCCCTACCCACTGTGCTATCACTCCAGTCCCAGGTTTTCACTTTTATCTTTGCGCAGTTGGGTGTCTGTGTTGGCTTTGTGGGGTTCCCGGAAGCTGGAGCCTGGGGGTCCTCTCTGCCTGTGCTGTATGCCACTGTCTCTTCTGTGTAAGTAACTCATTACTGTTCCCTGATTCCATTAGAACATCCTGACTGAGAGGCTTTGTCCTATCCCCATTTCACAGGTGAGAAGGCTGAGGCCCAGGGAGGGAAAAACATCCTCCAAGACTGGAGCTCTCTGGGGTGGGAGAATGATCACACCTGCTCTGGGGCAGCTCCTGGATCTGTGCTCAGGCACCAGTCTTGGTGAGACCAAATATGGCATCAGGATTCAAACTCTTGTCACGGCACATGCGAGGCAGATGCCCTTGTTTTTTATTTTAAATTAATTAATCATCATTATTATTAGTTTTGCTTTCGGCCTCACCTCAGGGGTTATGCGTGGTTCTGTGCTCAGGAGTGTCCCCCAGAGGTGTTCGAGGAACTTTCTGCGCTACTGGAGATCAAACCAGCATTACTAAGACAAGCACCTTAACTCCTGTCCTATTTCTCCAGCCAGGGAGGGGTTTTTCTTTCGAAGGTTTTTGGCCACACTGCTGGTGCTCAGATCCACTCTGAACTCAGTGCTCGGAGGTTGTTTCTGGCAGTGCTCAGGGAACCAGATGGTGCTGGGAATTGAACTCGGGTCTCCTGCATGCAAAGCAACTGCTCCAATGCTTTGACCCACATGCCTGGTTCATGTCTGTCATGATTTGGGTAAAAACTATGTTCAGGGCTGGAGTGAGAGGACAGCGGAGAGGGCGCTTGTCTTGCATGCGGCTGACATGGGTTCAATCCTCAGCATTCCATAGGGTCCCCAGAGTCCTGCCAGAGTGATCTCTGAGCACAGAGTTGGGAGTAAACCCTGAGTACAGCCAGGTGTGGCCCAGAACCAAAATAAATACTCTGTTCACCAGTGACATTGACCTTGAGTCACATGGGGCTAGCACGTGACCTTGCCGGTGGCCTTCCCTGCTGTGGACATCACTCTGCGGTCCCCACTCTCCGAGGGGGAAATCCAACAGGGGCATGTGTGCGACATTCGAGGTTGTTCACTCTCGTAGACCCGTTTGTGATCTCTGGGACTCCTCACTGCGCTGAGACTGGGTGCAGGTGCTGCACCCTGGAATGTAATCCACGTGCAAGGTAGGGTGACGGGAGAGGGAGCACAGCAGGGATGTGTGTGGCCTGACTGTCCTTCCTCAGGCCTGCAGTGTTTCCCATCCACCAGGACCAAGCCAGAGCCTCGAGGGTTCCAGACCAATGACCAGCAGGGGACGTCATAGCTGCAGGTAAGGGGAGGGCTGCCAATCAGGCTCCCTCTAGCACCTCAAGGGCAGAAAGGGAAGAAAGAAGACTCTATGATCCTAGTGCCAAGCACTGCGGCCAGATACTGTTCTCAGCCCCCATGTGCACATTTATCTCATTTAATCACTTAATGCCCAGAAGCCACCTGTGACTGGAGCCAACATTCCATTCCAGAGAATATCATGAGCAATGGGCTGGAGCGATAGCACAGCAGGTAGGGCGTTTGCCTTGCACGCAGCCAACGTGGCCGACCTGAGTTCGATTCCTCCGCCCCTCTTGGAGAGCCCAGCAAGCTACCCAGAGCAACGAGCCCGCACGGCAGAGCCTGGCAAGCTACCCGTGAGGTATTCAATATGCCAAACAGTAACAAGTGTTACAACGGAGACGTTACTGGGCCCGCTCGAGCAAATAGATGAACAACGGGAGGACAGTGACAGTGACATCATGAGCCATAAAGAGGGTAGAAAGATGGATGCATTGGGTGAAGAAGAATGGTTCCATTTTTTTTTAAACCAGAAAAGTAGTGGGTAAAACTTAATTTTTTTAGGGGGTGGCTCTACACCCAGTGGCACTGTGCTCAAGGGTTACTGCTGGCAGTGCTCAGTAGACCATAAGGGGTACCAGGGATCAAATCCAAGTTGGCTGTGTGCAAGGCAAGTGCCTTATCTGCTGTATTATTGCTTTGTCCCTCGTTATGTAAATTTGTTTTTAAAGTTGGGAGCTTGGGCTGGAGTGATAGCACAGTGGTAGGGCATTTGCCTTGCATGCGACCGGCCCGGCAGAACCCGGTTCGATTCTCCCGCCCCTCTCAGAGAGTCCAGCAAGCTACTAAGAGTATCTTGCCCGCATGGCAAAGCGTGGCAAGCTACCCATGACGTATTCAATGTGACAAACACAGTAACAACAGTCTCACAATGGAGATGTTACTGGGCCCACTCGAGCAAATAGATGAACAACGGGAGGATAGTGGACAGTGGACAGTGGAAAGTTGGGGGCTTTTGGGCCATGCTCAGGTGCTGGTCCTGGCTCGGTGGTCAGGGGTCATTCCCAGGGGTTCTTGTGGGACTATCAAGTGCCAGTAATTGAACCCAGGGCCCTTGGAAACAAAACCTGTGCTGAACCCATAACACTATCTCTCCAGCCCCTATTTTACATGGGGGTTCTGGGGAGCAAACCTGGGTTGTCTGCTTGTAAGGCAAGCACCCTGATGTTGTACTACCTCTCTAGCCCCTGCGTAAAGCATTTTAAAAAAATTTGTGCCAGTTGTACTTATATGGTGGTGACTACTTTTCAGTGAAATACGGTAGATCTCTTCTTGCTCTACAGGGACACAGAAGGTGGCCATCTGTCACCCCCAGGAGAGTGTGGGCAGAACCCAACCACGCTGGCACGGGGGCCTTGGGCTTGCAGCCTTCAGAACTATGAGAAATAGGGGCCAGAGTCATAGTGCAGCAGGTAGATCATTTACCTTGCATGCACCTGACCTGGGTTTGATCCCCAGCATCCCATAGGGTCCCCGAAGCACCTCCAGGAGTGATCCCTGAATGCAGAGCATTGTTAGGTATACCAATACCTCCCCCCCCCCACCAAACCATGAGAAATAGCTGCAGGTCTATGTGGTGAAATCAGTTAGTGTGTTCGGCTGTTAATTGAGTGGTTGGTTGTTCAAACTCACCCAGGGTTGCAGCCCTAGCTTTGGGGTCAGAGCGATAGTACAGGAGGTAGGATGTTTGTCTTGCACACAACCCACCTGGGTTTGATCCCCAGCACCCCATAGGGTCTCCAAGTCTGCTAGGAGTAATCCCTGAGTGCAGAGCCAGGAGCAAGCCTTGAGCATCGCTGGGTGTGACCCAAAACAAAAAGAAAAAGAAAAAGAGAAGAGAAAACTGTAAGAGTTCCTGCAGTTGACCAGCCACCTGGTCTGTGGCCAGTGGTCAGAGCTGGTCGCCAGGGTTGGGACGCTAGGTGACCCACTGGGAAAAGTGACTGCACTGTGACGGCCACCATCCTTACACTTTTCTCATCACCTTCTTGAATGTCCTTAGCAATCCTGGACATTCCAGCTCATATCTCCGGTCTATAAATGAAGAAATTCTGGCTCTTCCCTTATCCCAGAGCTGGATGTTAGGATCACAGCGAGTTGACATTGAACTCGGAGTTAGCGTGGTGCGGGGGTGGGGCTCTGATGCTGGGTTTGCACGCCCCCTCCGGTACCCCCCGACACAGACACAGTTCATCCGGTCCCCACTCACCAAACCCCCTTGGGTTCAGTACCACAAACAGCTCCTCCTGGTCGGGGCAGATTCCTGTCTACCAGCCATGTCTGAGGAGGCTCTGGTATCACTGCTTGAGTATTTCCAGACCTGCCTGGGCTGGAGGTCCAGCAGAAAGCAAAAGAAGTGACCCAGAGCGGGTACACTGCAGTGGATACTCCGGAGGGCACCCAGGACTCAGCCCTCCCTCACACAGAGCAACAATCTCCACCGACTGCACGGAAGGCAGGTGTCTGGTCAGTGCTCCAGCCTGTCCCAGCTCAGCCTCGCCTGAGCACAGGTAGGAGAGGAACCAGTTCAAGGGGTCACACTGCGTCCCCCTGTTGGAGGTGCCATCGTCCCAGGCTTCCTGGGTCAGGTTTTGTTTCTAGGAAAGAGCAGGGAGTACTCCCACCCCAGTGCTCTCCCCCTTCCTCATTTCCACGTCCCTGCCCCCCACCAGCCTCATGTAGTAGCTCAGGGTCAGATAAAGACAGACCTTCCAGAAACTTCTGATAATGGAGATCCTGCAATCCCTCCATGGCATGTTACCCTGTATCCCCAGTTAAATACATCCATTGTCCATTTATTCATTCACTCATTCTTTCATTCATCAAAGGCAAGAGAAGATCAGGAGGGGTCAGAGAGACAGTAGAGAGAGTAGGGAGGCATTTTCTTTGCACGCAGCCGACCAGCACCCCATCTGACACCCTGAGCACCGTTAGGAGTCACTCTAAGCATAGAGTAACCCCTGAGCATCACTGGGTGTGCGCCCACCCCCAATAAAAGACAGAGAGACGGAAAAGACTCAGGGATCCATCCCAGGTGAGAGAGTTCCAGCCCCTGCGTTCCAGGAGGAAGGAGGGGTCCAGCCCTCAGGGAGGAGCATCCAGGGCAGGAGGGACCCTGGGGGTACCGGCTTCTGGAAAGGGTACAGGAATGTGGGGAGAGCAGAAGCCATGGGGGTGATTTGCAGGGGAGAAATGCGCAGAGAACAGCACTTTGGAAACCAAGGGGTGTTCAGCAGAGGAGGCACGCGGGGACCCATGTCTGGGAGGACCAGGCCTGCAGCCAGGAGGAGCGAAAGGTTTCAGGGGCCACAGTTGTTGGGGGCCACAGACAGAACCCAGGGCAGAGGAAGGTGCTTGGGGATGCCCAGGCCCTGAGCCAGGCTGGGCCTCCCTCGTGTTCCCACCCCCCCACCCTCCCACCCCCGGGACCCCAGCGCCCACCCCCACCCGCCTGGCCCTGACACTCACAGGTGGCCTCCAGGCCGATCCTCTCGGCTGAGCATGCCCTCCTTCTCCATCAGCATGTGTCGGAATGTCCCCACCTTCTGCCGTGTCTCCTCCTCTGAGTACCTGCAGGCAGAGGGCGGGTTTGTGGCTTTGGGTCCCTCCCCCAGTGACCCCTTCCCCCACTGCAAGGAAGCATCAGCAGTGAGCAAGGGTCTGGCGCCTGCCCGCATGCTCAGGGACACTGACCCTCCCAGAGCCTGGGGTGGAGTAGGACTGCCCATCACCCCCTGCCTGCAAGATCAAGGCCAGAGAGAGAGGCTTGGATCCAAATCCAGGAGGCATGTGAAAGAAGCCTGGCCTTTGAATACAAGCTCTTTGCTCTTTTTTTTTTTTTAATCAGATAGTCTTTTCTGTGTGTGTGTGTGTGTGTGTGTGTGTGTGTGCGCGCGCGCACGCGCGCGCTTGAGTGTGTAGGGTTTTTTTGGGGGGGGGTTGTGCCCCAGCTGTGCTCAGGGCTTACTCCTGGCTCTGTGCTCAGGGATCGCTCCTGGCAGAGCTCAGGGGACCATATGGGGTTGCCGGGATTGAACTCCAAGCTGGCTGTGTTCAAGGCAAGCGCCCTCCCACTGGACTGTCTGGTGCCCCGGAAAATTCTTTTCCAAAGCAAACCGAGCACATCCACGCGAACTAGCGCGTTGAGCCTGCGGAGATCAATGTGTCTGAGTTTCTCAGTGCAGAGACCTGACAGCGGGGATGGCGCTGGGAGGGGGACCCCTGAGCACTGCACTCCAGGGCTAACAGTTCTGTTCCCATAGCAACCTGCAGCTCCCTCTGGAACCGGCAGGTGGTTCCTGCACTGGTCATTATCTGAGATTCTCTGTGGCAGGACCTGGGGGTTCCCTGAGGGCAGGGCCACGGCTGTCTGGGTAGCGTGGGGCCCTCTGCCCCGCCCCCCCTCCGTCTCTAACCCACCCCCGCCTGGGGCGGTACCAGAGTCTGAAGGCTGCTTCTTCCTTTTGTTTTTAAATTAAATTCATTTACTATTTATTTATATTTTAAGGACATTTTATTTCATTTATTTTTCCTTTTTTAGGTCACATCCAGCGAAGCTCAGGGGTCACTCCTGGCTCTGCACTCAGGAATCCCTCCTGGTGGTGCCTGTATTTATTTATGTGCTCAGGGGACCCTGTGTGGTGTTGGGGATGGAACTGGAGCTGGCCGCGTGCCAGGCTAGCCCCTGTGCTGCCTCCTGGGACCCTGCAGTTTCTTTATGGAGACTCTGATGGCTGGAGGAGGGGACTTGGGGGGCACGAGGGGGGGTGGCCTTGGGCTCCTGCAGGGTTTGAGCAGGGAGGGGGTTCAGGGCAGACACCGCGTAGGCCAGAGAATGGCTGCGACCAAGGGACTGTTAAATCTGTCAGGGATTAATGGGGATTGGCATCACTTACTTTGTCCCCAGGAGTCCCTGACCTGAATTAGGGGTATGAACGGGGAACGGGGCCATCAATTCCAGTCCCCAGCCTGACCGGCTCTGAGTGTGCGTATGTGAGCATGCATGTGTGTGCCCTCGTGTGTGGTGCACATTTACATGCCTTTGTGCACATATCTGTGTATATATGTGCATTTGCACATGTGTGAGGTTACCATGTGCTGACACCCTGTCACACTCTGTGACCTGGCACCGTGGCACTGTTCAGACTAGGTTTGAGCATTTACCCAGAGGTCCCTGAGCCTTGCCTGTGGGATTACAGAGTGGTTGTTGGCTGAGCTGCCCCCGGCCCTGGAAGGGGGCAGCACCTCTCTGAGCCACGAAGGTATAGAACCGTCTCTCCAGAGGTGACATCAGTCACTGCCACCTGCACAGACACTCACAGCACAGCCTCACTCACATCCCTGATGCTCAGAGGCTTTGGGCCCACATGTGAGCAGGTAGGGGAACGACCTGGCCAGGTCCCTGCTGGGATGCAGACCAGGGTCCAGACCCTCATGCCTGGGGCTTGACAGCGCACCAAGGTCAGGCAGTGCAAGTGAAGCCCAGCTCTGGTGCTGGACGTGGGCTCTGGGCACGCACCTCCGGGCCAGGTGGGGGACCCCATCTTCTGGGGGAGTCAGGATCCCAAGGATGACATTGGGGTAACCTGTGCAGCTGAGGCTTTGGGGGTTGTGGTGAGCAGGAGACAGGAGTGCCAAACAGCCCTGGGTTTAACCCTGGTCCCCCCCACACACACACTTTCCAGCTCAGGGGGACACTTCCTCAGCCCCCACCTCTCTGTCTGCTGGGAAGTTGGCCAGGGGCTGGGGTGAGAGTCGGAAGCCTGGCCTATGGTGGGGGGCTGCTCATGGGGGGTTGTGAACACAGAACAGAGGGGACAGGGCTGTGCCCATCCCAGATTCCTGCCCGTTCCTCCCAGTGCCCTGCCGATGGCATCACTGGTTATTGACTCTGTTCTCTCAGGAGACAATGGCCGGCCCAAGAGAAAAAAAGAGGCAAGGACCCAACTCCTGGAGTACTGGAGACCCCTCAGGATGCCGGGATGGCCTGTGGAGGCTGGTCACAGAGAGTGCGGTGGCATCTGTCTCCACAGGGCCCCAGGAGGGCCAAGTCAAATGCATTGTTGCTTGTTAGATCCCCTAGACCACCCTCTGGGTCTGGGGTGCAGTAGGAGGTCCCCTGAGTGAAAATGACTCATTCTACTGCTCACCCAGATGAAGGGTTCTGGGAAAATCGCTTCCTTCCAAGAGCTCTGATTGGATCTTGCTTGCAGTAGGGATGGGGTATGATGATTCCCATCTCACAGATGACAAAACAGAAGAGGGAGGGCGCTGAGTCCATTGGTGGGAGGCCCTGAACTGGGGTGGGGTCTGTGCAGTGGTGGGGGGATGCCCAGGTGACAGAAGTAACCCACAACCGAAGCAGGGAAGGAAGGCGACTACCCATGAGGCATCAATCATGCAGGCATTCGCACCATCCATCAATTTCAAGAGAGAAATTGCTTTTTAATGCGGCCACAGAACGTGCGTTCCTGGGACTTGCGGGAATATTTGTCAAATGCCCGAGTACCCGGTAAATAAACTTGAATGGAGCCGTGTTTCAGAAATGGATATTAATGACCGGGGCGAGAAACGGTGGGACTCCCCCGGCAGTTCTGTTCCGCTGGGAGTCTTGCGGGGCACAGACCGCTCAGAACAATTACCAAGACAGCAGCCCCTGATCTGGAGGTGAAGAACTAGCTCAGCCAAGGTCTGGGGCAGGGCTGGGCACCTGGGTTGGTAGGTTTCAGGGAGCTGCATCCACTGAGGATGGGGGTGGGGGGGGGAGGGGGAGAAGGTTGGGACGGAAATCCAGAAATCCGGGGGTGAGAACTCAAAGGATCTCTCCAGCCAGGGTTGGGTGGGGATGCGCCCCCACCCCCTGCCTAGAGAGGATAGGAGGTGAGTAAGTGGGGGCTCCGCAGAGACTTTGAGAATGCTGAATGCCCAGAAACTGACAAAGACAGAGAATTTGTGGGAGCCATTGGCCGGGAAGAGTAGGGGGAGAGGGAGAGGCTGGGGGAGGGGCGGGGCTGGGAGTTCCCAGAGAAGATGTAAAGGAGGAGAAAGCGCTTTCCAGGCTCTGTCCTTCCCCAGCTTGGGCGCCTGCCCCCACTCCCTGTGCTCTGGCAGATATGCTGGCTTAATTAAGGTCCCGAGAGGGGACTCCCCTCCCCTCCCCCCCCCCCTCCGCCTGCCTGGGGATCTCATCTCATCCCACTCTCCCAGCTCGCGCGCAGATTCTCTCTGCCAGCTGGATCCTCCTTTCATCTTTCTGCTGCAACCTGGCACCAGCCCTCTCCACAGGGACCTCCCCACCTGCTCCCCACTGCAGGAGAACAGCCGGGCCTCTGCACCCCTTTCTTTCCTGATGGGTGGAGTGGTTCTGCCCCGGTTTCTGACGACCTGAGCACAGGGTTTTCCTGAACTCCATGGTGAGGGAGAGCCTGGCTTGGCTACTCTGGGTGTGGGGCGGAGCCCAGGAGATGGGTTGTGGACAGTTTGGTGGCCACAGGCTATCTGCTCCCATTGCCCAGCATAGGTACTTTCCCAGGCCTCTGCTCTCTGGAAGCCTCAGCATCCACAACTGTTTTGAAGAAGAGGGAGAGACTTGGACCAAAGGGATAGCACAGGGCTTAAGGATCTTGCCTTGCATGTGGCTGACCTGGTTGGATGCCCGGAGCACATATGGTCCCCCAGCCTCCACCAGGAGTGATCCCTGAGCACAGCCTGGTGTTAAGTCTTAACTAAGGGAGGGAAATTGGGCCCATTGGTGGTAGGAAATGTGCACGGGTGAATGGATGGGTGTTTGGCAGGTTGTATGACTGAAGCTCAATCATGAACAACTTTGTAACTGTGTATCTCAAGGTGGTTCAATTAATTAAAAAAAAAAAAGACTGGGCCTCTCACCTAACTGGGATCCTGAACTCAATTCTGGCAGAGCCCTGCCCTCTGCTTCAAAGTGTCCCTGTCACATGGCACTGCCACTAACAGAGCACCATCACTAACCAAAGCCCCGCCCCACCGAACAGAGCCCCGCCCCCCGCAGCAGCCCCGCCCGACAGAAACCCCGCCCACAGTCTTGCCCCGCCCACAACCCCACCCGACAGCAGCCCCGCCCGCCGTCTCGCCCCGCCCACAGACAGCAGCCCCGCCCACACTCTCGCCCCGCCCACAGCCCCGCCCCGCCGCGCGACTCACCCCTGCTCCTCCATCATCTCCTGCAGCTCCATGCACTTGAGCTCCACGCGCCGCTTGCGCTCGTGGTCCAGGATCTCGCGGTGCGCGCGCTTCACCAGGCCCGGCTCCGCGGCGCGCATCTCCTCCTCGGCGCGTGGCCAAGCCCCAGAGGAGGCGCCCGGCTGCGGGAAGCCGTTCGCGGCGTCGGGCGGGGATGGCATACTGGCCGCGCCGTTGTTCACGGTGGAGGACATGGTGGCCGGCGCGGGAGCCGCTGGCCGCGACCGTCCCTGCAGGAAAGACACAAACACGGGGCGAGGTGGTCAGTTCTCGGCCGCCCGCTAAGCGCTCTGCGGGTTAATCCTGGAGATTTAAAGGCTCCCTCCGGCTCTAATCCGCTTCCCCACGTGCTGCCAAAGAGGGTGCTTGGCAGGGTTGCACCTCTGGGTCACACCTCAGGGCCTGACAGGTGGATTAGACCCTGGGCTTTGCAAGGTGCATGCAGCAAGGGGAAGATCTCTGGACCTTCCTCTCTCCCTGAACCCAGAGCCGGCTTGCCGCTTGCTGAACAAGGCAGCCAATTCCGTTGGTGTCTAGGAAAAATGTTGATTTGTTTTTCCTTTGGCTCTGTTTAATCCCCCTTCTCTCCCAGCCCCCACCGTCCCAGATACTGCGCTCTCACCCAGACCAACCTGCTGAGATGGCAGGGAACTCTGCTCCGTTACATCCTCTAAGGGGCTGCTGGGGACACTTCTCAGAGCCAGCTACTAGGGGAAGCCCCAGGGAGCTCAAGAGAGCTCGCTTCACTGTCCCCTCCTGTGCTCCAGAAACACTGCTTCTCAGGATGTGACCAATATGACCCTGACATTAGCTTCCTCCAGCAGCCACAGCGCCCTGCAAGCTTGGGTGGGGTGTCAGCAGGTCACGTTGGAACCCCTCTCTGTACTGGGCCCAGCGGGGAGCCCAGCACATCACACACAATTCAGTATAAGGCGCAGACATGCACACACACACTCACACCCCAAAATAAAGCATGTGCAGACACGTGTATGGTACACACACACACACACACACACACACACACACACACACACACACCAAGGACCTATCTCTCAACCAAGGGAGGCATGGAGCTATTTCCATTTCCTTTCTCCAGGCTCAGCTGGTTGCTAAGCAACAGGGAAGCCTCCTTCCTGAAGAGTAGGGACATGGGAGGGAGTCGGAAGTGAAGGGACTGGGCATGTCTGGACGTCCTGGGTGAGCCTTTCCCTACAAATCACAATCCCCCAGCCTCAGAGTCGTGGGGTGCAGGGCTGCTCAGAGTCACAGAAATGGAAGGCAGGGAAGAGAGAGGCAGAGGACAACTCACAGGGGACAGAGTAGCAGTGTCTGTCCCTGGCTTCTGGGCTGGGCTTCTTCCTTCCTTCCTTCCTTCCTTCCTTCCTTCCTTCCTTCCTTCCTTCCTTCCATCTTCCTTCCTTCCTTCCTTCCTTCCTTCCTTCCTTCCTTCCTCCCTCCCTCCCTCCCTCCCTCCCTCCCTCTGTGATCCCAAGGCTGGCATTGACCCCCTTCTGGTCCCCTACTGCAGCATCCCAGCGAGAGTTGATTATGTGCCTGCAGGACCACTTCTGGCCTCTCTTGCCCCCTCCACCAGCTCCCCGCTTCTGTCCCTAGCCCAGCTCTGCACCCCAACTTGTCCAGGGCTTCTCCACTCATAGTCCATCCTGAACTCTGGAGTCCTGCTCCCCATGTTAGCCACAGTGCATGGCTTCTGGGGGACCCCTTCATCTGTGTGGCTTCTGAGCCCCGGCACCGCAGTCCCCCATCAGGACACTTGGGCCCTTCACAGGGACGGTCCCCTTGCTGCCACCAGCTTCAGACCCTCAGCGTTGGCCCGAGCCCCACTTTCTGCACTTTCTCCTTGACTCACAGCGTCCAGTGCTAACTGTGACCTTGGCTCACAGAAGGCTGGCCTGACCTCCTTAGGGTCCCTGCTGTCCTCCCTCCCTCTGCCTCTGGGCCTTTCCACTGGCAGCTGTATTTCTCTGACTCCTCTGTGTCCTTGGTCACTGCGGGTAAGAGGGACCGTCTTCTGGAGCATTCCAGTGGAGCTTCCAACCCCCAAACCAGCACAGCACCTAACCCAGCCTGGTGTTCCAGGCAGGGGGTCAGGGAGCCACCCCCCCAGACCCTTTCCCCTGTCACCTTAGGGGTTTGGAGTTTTGGTTAATGAGTCATGCCCAGAGGTGTGTGCTCAGGGCCTACTCCTAGCTCAGTGCCCAGGGAGCACTGCTGGTGGTGCTCAGGGGACCAGGCAGTGCCAAGGATTTACCCTGGACCTCCTGCATGCCAAGGCTGGGCTCTGGGGCGGGGCATTTGCCTTGCATGTAACTAACTCAGGTTCGACCCCTGGTATATGGTCCCCTGAACACCTCCAAGAATGATTCCTGAGTGCAGAGCCAGGAGAAAGCCTTGAGCACTGCCAGGTGTGGCAGAAAAATAAAGATAAAAAAACATGTGCACCAGACCTTAAGCCTGCCTCTCTCCCCCTCCCTCGCCCTGCACACATACTCTCTCTCTGACACAGTTTGCCCCACTATTCATTTTTCCACTTCATCTCTTGCCTGCGCCTTCTCCTCCAGCACACCAACACCCCAGCCTTGGCCATCTGTCCCCACATCACTCTCAGTGCTCTGTGACCTTGTTTTTATTGCTTCCTTGTGCTGGATTCTGCTTCCCTCTGCTCTTCTCCACCTGGGGAATATTTACCTCCTCCGTCAGGGCTCTGTCCAATGCCACCCCCTCCAGGAAGTCTTCCTTCCTGCCAAAGAAGGTCTCATGGTCTCTGGTCCTCACCTACCTGGACTGCCGGTCTTCGGAAGGTGCCTGACCCTGGTTCTACACTGTGATCCCTTTGAGGGGAGGGGAGGCTTCATTGCCAGAGTCTCGGCACCTGCCACACTCAGACACGCTCCTGTTGTGGGGAATCACCCTGCTTGCTTCCCCTCTGATGTGGGTGACCTCTTCTGCCCCCGCCATCTCCATCTGCTTCAGTTCCTTGAGGTCAGAGGAGGGATGGGGGGGGAGCAGCTGTGGGTGCACTCACCTCCGCAGACACCCCCCTCCACCACCACCACCACCATCTACCTCCAACACTCGGGGTAGTTCGGCTAAGTTACTAAGCCCCCTCAGGAAAGATGGAAGGCGCGAGGGCAGAGAGCACTTCCGCCAGCGCCCCAGAGGAGTCAGGGATGACAGGCAGGAATTCAAAGGAGGCAGGATATTCAAAGTATGATTGTGAACCCCCAGAGAGAGGGCAGCCCCCCAGAAGGAGGCACTCAGCCTGCTTCCTTCCCAGCTGAGGCTGCTGGGCTGACTAACAGAGTTATGGCAGGTACAGGGGACTCTGCACCACTTTCCCGTGGCCCTTTACCTATCCTTGTGCTCTGGAGCTGGTGGGGAGCAAGCTCAGAAGCTTGGGTAGGCCAGCTGTGGCTCAGAAGTTCCTGTCACGGTGCCATTGTCACACTGGGTGCTGTTTCCCAGTGCTGTTTACGGGCTACTCCTGTAAAGTGCTCTAGGGTCACTCCCGGAGGTGTTGGGATGGGACTCAGGCATTCCACATGCAGAGCCTAAGCCTGTTCAGGTGTCCCCTCGGTGCCTGTGCTACAGAGTGTGTGTTCAGAGCAGGCCCACAGGACTCTGCCCTCACCCGTGCCAGACCCAACTCATGGACTGGAGGGAGCCTGGTGACTTGCAGAAGAGTTTCAGCCCAAGAGGGCTCCAAAACATAGAACCAGACCCGGAAAAGACTCAGCAGATGGACAAGCTGGAAGGAATAAAAAACTGGGCCAGAGGGACTGGAGCAATAGCACAGCGGGCAGGGCATTTGCCTTACACACAGCCAACCGGGGTTCGATTCCCAGCATCCCATATGGTCCCCTGAGCACCGCCAGAGGTGATTCCTGAGTGCAGAGCCAGGAATAACCCCTGTGCATTGCTGGGTGTGACCCCCCCAAAAAAAACAAAAAAAATTGGGCCAGAGTGATAGGACATTGGGGAGGGCATTTGCCTTGTACATGTCTGGAGACCAGGGTACAATCCCTGGCATCCCATAGCATCACCAGGAGTGATCCCTAAGAGCAGAGCCAGGGGTAACCCCTGAGCATCTCCAGGTGTGCCTCCCCTCTGACGAAAAAAAAGAGAGATGGAGGAATTAGAGTTGGGTCAACAGCTGAAGCCTAGTGGGGTCTCTGTCCCAGGCACCACCAGGAGTGACCCCTGAACCCTGAACTCTCACACCCCCCAACCCCACAATAAAAGAAGCGGAATGCTACATTCCAAAACTGGGTTCCAAACTAATATTCATGAATTGGGTAGATATAGTTTAGAAGTGGTATACTGGGGGACGACAGGGGTGGGGGTCAAGGATCATGGACTCCTTAAGAACCAACATACGGTATGATGCCCCCAAATGGCATGTTCTTGACAGCAATATAAGGTGGAGATGGGAAGGTGCTAAGGTGCTAATATTTTGACTCTATACATATCATCAGAATCCCAGGATTCAAATCACTGAGAATTGGGGGTACGGCAGGTCAACCTGTACCTGGGGGGCAAGTGCATCAGCAGCCTTCTGAAAATTGCCGCTGTGCCTCTAGCCGAACACCAACAACTCGGGACTAAGTTTCCCGAGAAATTAAACAGCCAAAAGTTAGGTATGTGGGAGCCACGCCCACGAACCACCTCTGACTCAGCTATACAAGTTCATTTCGCAGCCTTGCTTCAGAGACGTACAAATCAATCTCAAAAGAGATCAAAAACCACAGTTAATCTCAAACCTGCGCAAGACTGAATAGACCAGGGTAAGTTGGAGGGGCAGGTCAGCCTGGTGCCCGCCCAAACAGAGCCTTTGGCAGCCGCTTGCAGCCACAATCCTAAATCGCCGCCATGCCCTCAGCCTGACTCCACTGTCTTGGGACAGACCTTACTGAGATATAATCTGCTGAAAATTCAGGAACGTGAGTTTTGTGACCAAAATCTTCAGGATTTCTCAGGGTTGGGATGGGCTACCTCTCCCCCCCACACACACACACCTTTCTGTGCTTCCAAAAGCTTCGGCAGTCACATCCATACTCCAAAGCTGCCCCCAGTTAAAAAATCCACTCTAACCTTACCTTCATGAAAAAAATACTGAATTCTCTAAACAAACACCATGACCTCTTAGTACCTGTATTGCAAATCATAATGCACAAAAGTTGAGAGAGAGAGAGAGAGAGAGAGAAGTGCC